TTAGTTCTCTCTATGTTCAGTAAGTAGCTGTAACATTTACTTCGTGGACATTTAAAGGAGAACTGTCATATCATGGACGTCATTTACCTACGTAATATCGCGAATTAGAGAATTCCTACACCCCCACTGCTGAACGGGAACCCCCACCCCCCTACAGTATTAGCTGTTAAATCGTGTATTCTCTTTTGATCTATAGTGATAGTCTGCGTCAACCGTGTCATTACTTTGTATTATAGTACTAGTAGTACAACTAGAATTTCGGCGGGTAACACATAACATTTCTCCATCACTTTCGATCTGCAGCTAATCTTTTCATACAAATAATCAATCGTGAGTCCATTTGTAATTATTGTATATTCAACTTGCATTTTTTGCATTTTATAATATTTTATTCACTTCTTTCACAACTTTGATTTTTTGCTGAATGTAAACGAAAAAGAATAAATTTCTTTTAGCAAAAAAACCTTTCATAGTGTTCATTATATAGTGGAAAAGCTTTTATTTCTATAACTAGGCATATGATCATTATAATCATTGTACATACAGCCACATGAGGGTGTCCCCCGATCACGAACGGTTTCAGTATGTCCTTCATTATTTACAGGGGCTAATTACTGCTCAGAAGTACTGTCTCAGGGTACTGTTTGCTAATACTAATATATAATATATAATATGTACTAGTGTAACCCATGCCTAATACGTCTTGATAGGCAATCTTGAGGTCTAAATTACCTAATTATATAGCAAATCTTTTCTGATATGAGGGGAGAGAGAGCGAGAGAGGGAGAGTACTGAGACAATTTAGTATCACATTTGGGTCACAAAATGATCACTTAAACCATTTACCACCGACCGATTTGAGAAACCTTATTCATTTGGCTTCGTCAGAGTTTTGTTGGCACTATACCGAAAAAACTAGTCCCATGATATCTCTTACCGTTTTCTTGATTAAGCCGTTCGGAAATTACACGCGAACGAACGAAGTAACGAACACACATCTTGAGATTATTAGTATAGACCTATAGACTAGTGTATCCCGTGCCTACGGTCGGGACTTCACTATCGCAATTGAAATTTAAAAGTATAAACCCGCCTATTATATTCGATAACACGCATTACATACATTGTCGTATGATTGCCCCGGCCCCTAATAACTATAAGCCTATAGTATTACAAAACAGTGAATCTTGCCCCTGATACACTGCCAAATAATCTAATTATGATTTATGTACCAACGCTGCATATGCAGTAATGGGAGAGAGAGCGAGGAGGGGAAAAAGTGAGCCATTTTATGTTAAATTTGTGGTACAAAACCATCAATTAAACCACTTACCACCGGCTGATTAAAAAAATTTGCTTATTGGTTTCGACAGAGTTTTGTCGAAACTATACCGAAAAAACCAGTCCCGCATAAGTTTGACTTTGACCGTTTTCTTGATTAAGCCGCTCGGACATTACACGCGCACAGACAGACAGACATACACACATTTTGAGATTATTAGTATAGATACTAATGTAACCCGTGTCTATTATATAAGTATATATAATACGCGCGATATGACCTCGGGGATCTGAGAAAGTTGTTCAGAGCTCAAAATAAGTAAGGTGCGAGTTGTGCAATATTAGGTAGTGGCCTACAATATCAAATATGCAACGTTGCGCCACTGAGTAAAAACACCAAAATACTTTTAGTCTATGTAATAAGCGCCATGAGTTGGCAAACAATTTTTCCCTCCGATTTCGATAAATTTGGTACCAAAAGTTGTCTAAAAATGTGAATAAAATAATTCCACAGTTTCAGTTATTATGAAATAATTGTTATCGTAATCAGCTCATCGAGACGAAACTTTTAGTATTGATATCACAAGATTTAAAGGAACATTAATATTATTTTCAAATTTTTAAAACCTGAACACAAGTGTAAAATTTCAAACAAATTTTTGAAAAATTTGGTCCATCAAATATTATAATTTTGGTATCAAAAGTTGCGTCTGACTAAGCTTATTACAATCCTGTAAAAATTATTTCAAAATATTCGCTATTTAAGGAGTTATATGCATTTTAAGCAAGAAATTACCTATTTTACATGTAGCAATGCATAGGAGGCCCAGTCCCACATACAGCTCGACTTTATCGTGCTACACGGTGAATTTGCATTATTCACACTTAGAGTCAACTTTTGATTGCCAACATACTAACAAAATTGATTTGCTCAAAAAATTAAAAAAATGGTTTCGTTGGCCTATTTTTTGAATTATTTAAATCGAGAAAACTCAGTATAACCATCTCAGGACCATTTTAATGAATTATACGGTCAAAATACGCCTAGAGAGTTGTATCTGGGGTTCCTAACGTGTCGAGCAGAAAATACCCGTAATATTAGTGAGGCCTTACTAATCTTAGCTAAAAACATTTTCGCCGCGTATATTTTAGCCGAAAAAAATTGGTTAATCTCTAAAATTAGTTTACGTATCAATTAACTATTAAATATATCTAACCGCGATTAATTTCTAGAATGAGTTTACGTAGCAAACTACCAAAAAGAACCTGTAGGACTGGCTCCACAAGGTCTACAAGGTCAGCTCCAGCAAGACCTGATGCCTGCAGTACTGACGAGATATGTCTTATCATCCCCAACGAGCCTTCTAGCAAGTAGGTTCAGCTGCAATTAAGGTTACTTAAATACCAATTACTTGCTGCAATTAAGGTTACTTAAATACTAATAATAATATATTAAAATTAGTATCTTAAAATAAGGCCATGGTCCTCATTGACCGATATCTTCTATTCCCATTTGATGCACATATGTAGTTTGTCCAGCTTATATTGCTTTATTCCTCAGGCTGAATGTGGGGGTGATGATTCAGAACAAAGTGTGGGAAACCCTAGACGTCAGCAACATCATTTGCCTGCACGACACAGACTACCTAACTCCAGTTGAGTACACAGAGATCTGTGTGGCGTGGATAGAGTTTCACCGACCTGACCAGACCAGTGTAGCCATCATTTGGAATACAGTCCCTTTTAGCGCCCTCTGCGACAGGTAATAATATGGAATACAGTCCCATTTAGCGCCCTCTGTGACAGGTAATAATATGGAATACAGTCCCTTTTAGCGCCCTCTGCGACAGGTAATAATATGGAATACAGTCCCATTTAGCGCCCTCTGTGACAGGTAATAATATGGAATACAGTCCTTTTAAGCGCCCTCTGCGACAGGTAATAATATGGAATACAGTCTATTATAAGCATATTTTAAAGTACTTATACGGCAGGTATATTTGGGATCTGAAGAACCATCTCACGGACCACCTGAAGTACGATGTACACGCTAGAGCTTCTAAAAACAGACATATTATTAGTTACTCCTTCCCATGTAATCCTACTGAGCTCAAATACAAAAAGGAGACGTGGCAGGAGTGGCAAGGTAATTTCAAGTACAGGGAGGGGGGGGGGGCAAGGTAATATTAAGTACAGGGGGGGGGGGGGGGAGGGTAATTCAAATCAATCGATTTTGTTAAACTTAAGATATTCCCGTTAAACCCTTAAGATAAGAAGATAATGAAAATAACTTTATATAAATAACACGTGCATTGTAGGGTGCGGGATGGTTGACTGCACCCACATTAGAAACCACGCAGTAAAACTGCAGCTGAAGCAGACAGGAGAGGGGGTGCCCCTATATATTCGGGACAAGAAAGTGAAGTACCCGGCGTGCAGCAAGATCAGTGTCAGACATTACCACCCGGGCTGTGTGGTGCACTGGTGGGGGTGGACTGACACCTGGAAGTACAGACAGCTCCCTTCTCATATGGCTAGTGTAGAGTTCGACTCACTAGACGACGAGTATTGCAAAAGAACTTTTGTCAGTCTTTTAACAAACACCATGGACGAGTTTTTTGAAAATATTAACAAAGGGGGATGGAAATATATAGCCTGTATGGTGAGACTGAGGTGAAATGTATATAGCCTGTTTGGTGAGACTGAGGTGAAATATATAGCCTGTTTGGTGAGACTGAGGTGAAATATATAGCATGTATGGTGAGACTGAGGTAAAATATATAGCCCGTATGGTGAGACTGAGGTAAAATATAGTATAGCCCGTATGGTGAGACTGAGGTGAAATATGTAGCCTGTATGGTGAGACTGAGGTGAAATATATAGCCCGTACGGTGAGACTGAGGTAAAATATAGTATAGCCTGTATGATGAGACTGAGGTGAAATATATAGCCTGTTTGGTGAGACTGAGGTGAAATATATAGCCTGTATGGTGAGACTGAGGTGAAATATATAGCCTGTATGGTGAGACTGAGGTGAAATATATAGCCTGTATGGTGAGACTGAGGTGAAATATATAGCCTGTATGGTGAGACTGAGGTGAAATGTATATAGCCTGTTTGGTGAGACTGAGGTGAAATATATAGCCTGTATGGTGAGACTGAGGTAAAATATAGTATAGCCTGTATGATGAGACTGAGGTGAAATATATAGCCTGTTTGGTGAGACTGAGGTGAAATATATAGCCTGTATGGTGAGACTGAGGTAAAATATAGTATAGCCTGTATGATGAGAATGAGGTGAAATATATAGCCTGTATGGTGAGACTGAGGTGAAATATATAGCCTGTATGGTGAGACTGAGGTGAAATATATAGCCTGTACGGTGAGACTGAGGTGAAATATATAGCCTGTATGGTGGGCTACTAATGTGAAATATATAGCCTGTATGGTGGGCTACTAATGTGAAATATATAGCCTGTATGATGGGCTACTAATGGTAAAGGAGGCTCACTACCAAAAAGGTCTGGTTCCGCACCCGCCGCGCTTATATGATGTCCCATGTCCTATACCTGTTGCCTCAGGGTCTGAGAGTAAGATGAATTTATCACAACAGTTTTATGGCGAGGTTTTTATCTGATATATCTCAGATTATTCGACTGAAATAGGTGTGCTTTGAATGACAAAATAATATATCTACAAAGTGACTAAATACGCAACTCCGCAAGCAACCGAACTTTAAAATTTATATTTCCCATACAATCAGGTGAGAACTTATTAAGTATTTTGTTACTAATTTGTTTGAGTTCTAAGCTTTACGATAGCTTTCTGTAAAGATTACACTGTGTTGGATTGCTTTTAAAATTTCTTTGAAATTCTTTTAACAATACCCTAATACATGTTTTACTGCCTATCCAACTTTAATATTACCCTAATCTGCTAATATAGAACAGAAATTACAACTGTCAATACTCTTACCAGGCACATACTCTAACGTTGATTTGTAGATCAAACAGTTTGTTAAATATCTTAATTAAGTTTTCATCCCCAGTAATCTATCACATGATCGACCCACTCAAGAGAACGAAAAACGAAACAACTTAATTAAATTACACAAAAATGTTTGGTTCCGAGTAACTTAGAGCTTTAATATTTACTAAGCAATGAAAGTGAATTATAAAAATAAATGGTACCAATTATAGGGACAAATCTTTCAAGAATTTCTAATGCTAAATTCTAAAAAATAAAAATAGCATCTAAAACTACACTGGTACACTGGTCACTTTTATACTTTTATAGACACCACTTTACCAGGTCCTCAGATTTCTAAAAGGGGTTGTTGCTGGGTGGAAACAAATCAGTTATTTAGTGAACAACTCTATAGCTCAAATTAGCTCCAACCTAAAAGGGCTTGGTGTGTATACTGTCCAGCAGCTAGACGTTCAAAACTAGGACTTATAGATATTTATAGGTACTTAGTGGACGAGATTAATCGTATGATAGTCTTTGTAGAGATCATCACACAAAAAATACCCTATTTTCTCTTAGACCTCCCTCGCCGTCCACCCCACCCTCCTCCTCCCCTTCCTCCTCCCCTTCCTCCTCTTCCTCTTCTTCTTCATCATGATCCCCGAACATATGGTGTTGGGACATTTCCCCGTGGCCATCATCTACCTGCATCACCAGTCGCGGGTCTATCAATCTGTTGACAGGAGTCCTCTGCAATACTTTCAGTTAAATTATATTTTATAAATACATGTATAAATAAATTATAGGTCAAATGAAAAAAAGTTCAAATGGCAAGTAACAAGTTCAACTTCAAGTTTCATACTATAGCAATTAAACTAAAGCAATTGTCAGGAAATTAGATTAGATCTAAAAATATTCTCTTAAGACAGTTTGCTCCTTCATAAACTTAGTCTTAACAGCAGTGCATTATTAGGAATTTCCTCGAGTGCCTGAATTTTGAGATTTGATTTAATCTGACACTTTCCTGGCGGTGGACAATTCGTTTTGTTTCAAGTTGTGGAATCTTGGTCGGTGTAGTCACCTTGTTGTTGTTTGAGGACCTTTTGGCTGTGTGCCTTTAGTAGCCAGCCAACGTTGGGCATACAACAGTAGCTTAATTTAACCGTGTTTCTGTTGATGACCTTGTGGAGGTGGTGGTGCTTTGGGAAATACGTGTCTAGGATGTTGAAGAATTTCTTCCCAATATTAGTTTCCACATTTGAGCTAAAGGGTGGGTTAAACAATGTTACATTTCTTTTTGTATTTTTTCTGGGTGCTGTGTGCTCCTGGTATTGTAGCTCTTCATCAAAACCACTATGTTTGAGAGCGGACTCGTATACGTGTTTTGTACCAAGGAAAGATCTTTTGTCACTTTATAGGTTGCTGAGTCGTGTTGAGACCATGTCAGGGATGTTATTGATTATGCTCTTTGGATGGCTTTTTAGGCTTTTTGTTGGGTCTGTGTGATTTGTCAGTTACATTGAGCGAGATATCCAAGAATTGTCTACGCTTTCGTCACACAACTCTACAGTTATCTTAAGCCTTTCTTCTTTGAAAGTTTGGTGTAACTTCTTTCTGATCCTGTCAAGCTTTTGACCATTGCAGTTTGTTATGAATGCAAGTCCATCGTCGCGGTACAGGCTGAGGTGTCCGTTTTCAATGATCTTTGAGACTTTGCTTAATAAGTCTATAAGTAAAGCCCTACTAGCTCAGAGGTCTCTGCTCCGTCGAAGCTCCGATTGTAAATTCAAACTCAGGGCTGGTTTTTTTTCTCCAAGGTTTTCCCTCCGCTGAATAATAAAGATTCCTTGCTCAGTTTTATAATTTATTCCTCGTCCGTTGTGATGTTGATGTAGGATCGGGCGTGTTCTATGGCTCTGGTTAGCAGTGAACATGATATGGATGGGTAAAACTAAAACTCTTGTACGTCAAACTTTATGAAACGTGGCTTGGATGAGGGTTGTAAGTCTTTGAACCATTGCAGAACGTTAGATGAGCTTTTCCAGAGCTTGTGTTCTGAGTTTGTATTTGTTTGATGATTTTCTTTAGTATTGTTTTACTGACGATGCCCAAGTTTGACTTAGCTGGATTAATTAATCTGCACACCTTGCTTGTGGCAAAATATTCTTTATGGTCTTTTAGTGTGTAAATAAATTATATATTTTCATGGGATTATATATTTTCATGGAGTAGTCAGCAGTAATTATATATTTTTCTGGAGAAGTCAGCAGTAATTATATATTTTCCTGGAGTAGTCAGCAGTAATTATATATATTTTCCTGGAGTAGTCAGCAGTAATTATATATTTCCATGAAGTAGTCAGTAATAATTATGTATTTTCCTGGAGGAGCCAGCAGTAATTATATTGCAGAAATTAATTAATTAATTACAGTAATTACAGTAATTAACTACAGTAATTACAGTAATTAATCACAGTAATTAATTACAGTAATTAATTGCAGTAATTACAATATATATATATTGCAGAAATGCAAATAAAACTGAAACTTATGCTCTAACCTCAGAATCATATTCGTCACTAGTGACACTGTTAAGAGAAACCATTGAGGATATGTGACTTGTAGTGCCAGAAAGCTGGCAACTCTGACCACTAGTTCTTCGGGAGGAGTAGTTAGAGTAGCTGGACGGGTAACTGAACCTAGGGGAGGAGGAGAGTTAATCCTAGGAGGAGAGTAGCTGAACGTGTAACTGAACCTAGGGGGAGGATGAGAGTCAATCCTAGGAGTAGAGTAGCTGGACGTGTAACTGAACCTAGGGGAGGAGGAGAGTTAATCCTAGGAGGAAAGTAACTGGACGTGTAACTGAACCTAGGGGGAGGAGGAGAGTTAATCCTAGGAGGAGAGTAGCTGGACGGGTAACTGAACCTAGGGGGAGGATGAGAGTTAATCCTAAAAGGAGAGTTAATTATCACGGTTACAGTTACATTAACGAAAGATATATTTTCATCACCAATAAATATTTGCCTGGAATTAGAGCCGGATTCAGAGCAGGTGAGCAGGTTGACGTACTGACCAGCGTCCCTCTGCAGCTCTGTGGACCTCTCCAGGTTCTCGCTGGACAACGCTTCTAGGGAGGAGGATTTGATTATAATTTGATTGAGGAGCACTATAACTCGAAGCCATTACTCGGCCCTATTGTATTGTATTGTATTAGATGCCATCGTGTAGTAGGTGGTCTCCTGCACCTTTTCTCCCTCGACATAAAAGAAGAAACCTAGACATGCAACCTGCAATCCGAATGTGACTGCAGCCCTTACGGAAGACTATGAGGTCTTCATGCTTTTATAATTAATGATGCATAATATCACTCACCCATTTCCTTGAAGCTAGATCTAACTGGACTGCAGTAAGTGATGGGCTCCATAGTTCTGACAGTGCTCACGCTCATAGTGTCATCCTGGTGAAGAAGAGACTCCAGATCGTCAGCAGCTTCCCGCGCCGCAACTTCTGGTCCATTATCCATAGCAGGAGCTTCTTTAGAGTCCAGCCTGCAAATTGTGCTAACCTTACCGGTAATAGTTACTTACCTTGATCAAGGCTCGATCGGGATCCCGGCTTAATCCTGGTACCGGCCAAAATGCCGAATTTTGGCCGGGACCAAATCGGGATTTTTTCTCAATTTTTGATTATTTTTTATATACTGAGAAACTGTTTGCACAAATGAACGATTGGAAAAACTTAAGTTTAAAGCAACATTATTTACCAATTAATCAACAAAACAGTGTCAGAGTTAAGTGCCGGTTTTTTCAGTGAGCTGTGCTTGTAATCAGTAAAAGATACCAGGGTTGTCGTGTCAGAGTTAATTGCTGGTTTGTTGGGTAAGCTGTGATTGTGCTTGTAATCAGTAAAGGATACCAGGGTTGGAGTTGAGTAAATTAATGCTACTCTACGAAATGTCGTCATCATCTTATTCGTCAGTAAATCTAACTGCCTCTTCATCAGAATCCGTAACCATGCTATTTCGTAGTTTATTGCTCTTTAGTTGTATTTAATAATCAAGTTAATTTATAAGTTTTCCGGCCTTTTTTTCGTAAGCAACTGAGTGAGGAGGTAGATGCAGATAAATCCAGACAAGCTGGTACAAAGAGTGATGTTTCCTCCAGAACTCCAGGGGTTCCAGTCACCTGATCCCACGTAATGAATGAGGTCTTTATGCTTGACTTAACCCTAAACCTAAACCTAAACCTAAACCTAAACCTAAACCTAAACCTAAACCTAAACCTAAACCTAAACCTAAACCTAAACCTAAACCTAAACCTAAACCTAAACCTAAACCTAAACCTAAACCTAAACCTAAACCTTAACCTAAACCTAACCCTAAACCTAACCCTAAACCTAACCCTAAACCTAACCCTAAACCTAACCCTAAACCTAACCCTGAACCTAACCCTAAACCTAACCCTGAACCTAACCCTGAACCTAACCCTAAACCTAAACCTAAACCTAAACCTAACCCTAAACCTAACCCTAAACCTAACCCTAAACCTAACCCTAAATCTAACCCTAAACCTAACCCTAAGGCTAAACCTAACCCTATAAATCAATAAATAGACTAAAATGGGCCCATTCTAGTGTTTACCTCATCTGAAGTGTACTGATCATAGCATGAAGTGGATGGAAATCTAGCTTCCGCCCGAAAACAAACACGGGCGAAATTCTAGTTAAATTTAACATCGAATTTTTTGGACTGAATGCGTTTATAAGACAGTTTTTATCTCCTGTTTTTGTAGTTTTATTTTTAAAAGCTTACACAAGTTGAGTATTTTGGTGTGCCAACTCCCCAATCTTTATATTTGCATATTTAGCTTCTTGAGTGGCGAAGTCCTTTTCGCACTTCAACCTCTTTAGTTCATCTAATATCTGAATATTTGGTAAATTAATACTACAACCTCTTTAGTTCATCTACTATCTGAATATTTGATAATTAAAACTTCAATCTATTTAGTTCATCTAATATCTGAATGTTGGGTAATTGAAACTGATAACTGATTGAACCGAGTTAAGGTTGATCGATGAAAATGAGTACCAGTAACCATGGTATCAGTCCCAGACAAATGTAAAAGTTTAATTACATTTTGGTATTTTTGTTCAGTTTCTTCGGTTTTTCTTTCAGCTTCTTTTCGTTTCCTGTCAGCTTCTTTTCGATTTTTTTGTTCTGACTGAAATTCAACTGTCAAATATGAACATGCTATTATTCCATATTGGTGGTTTTTCTCTTTTAATGCAGTTTCAAGTATTAAACTTAAAATACAGAATAAGAAAGATAGTTATGTGATAATAATATAAAGCGTTATATTACTAGTAATGTAGGGACCGTATTTCAATCACACCACCCATCACCCCAGCTATGATAGCTCATTAGGAGATTAAGGTCGCTACCCTCGCTCCCACTAAATCACCATGGTTACAGGTACTAACATTAAGGTCGCTACCCTCGCTCCCACTAAATCACCATGTTTACAGGTACTAACATTAAGGTCGCTACCCTCGCTCCCACTAAATCACCATGTTTACAGCTACTAACATTAAGGTCGCTACCCTCGCTCCCACTAAATCACCATGGTTACAGGTACTGACTAACCTCGCTCCCACTAAATCACCATGGTTACAGGTACTATCATTAAGGTCGCTACCCTCGCTCCCATTAAATCACCATGGTTACAGGTACTGACCACCCTCGCTCCCACTAAATCACCATGGTTACAGGTACTATCATTAAGGTCGCTACCCTCACTCCCATTAAATCACCATGGTTACAGGTACTGACTACCCTCGCTCCCGCTAAATCACCATGGTTACAGCTTTACAGGTACTAACATAAAGGTCGCTCCCACTAAATCACCATGGTTACAGGTACTGACTAACCTCGCTCCCACTAAATTACCATGGTTACAGGTACTGACTAGAGTGACTACCCTCGCTCCCACTTAATCACCATGGTTACAGGTACTAACTTTAAGGTCGCTACCCTCGCTCCCACTAAATCACCATGGTTAGTGGTTACAGGTACTAACATTAAGGTAGCTACCCTCGCTCCCACTAAATCACCATGGTTACAAGTACTGACTAACCTCGCTCCCACTAAATCACCATGGTTACAGGTACTAACATAAATGTGTTAATAGAAACCTTGAGCTCCTCTTCCAAGTAGTCCTGCCGGGCGTAATGAAATTGATTTAAATTAGGAGTTCCATCTTCAGCCTCGCTAACACGACTAAGCTTGCAGCTACTGTTTATCCTGCCAAACATTTAGAATTAGAAGAATGAGTTTTTAAAAAAGTTGTGCTAATGTTTTGATTTTTTTGCGGGTTCCAGTGAAAAGTGAAAAGTTTATCACAGATATTACACATTGCTACTGGGGTGTTTTCCTTCATCTCACGATTAAAGTTTTTTTAAACTTTTAAAGCTATTATACCTTTCAAGGTCGTTTGTGTCAATCTGAATAGTTTTCTTTGGTGACGAATTGTTGCAAGTGAAGAAGGGATCAATGCGATCTTTGTTCTTAATAAGGCGGAAATCCCCATTTTCCATTGCTGCAGCACTTCGTTTAGGGTCCTGTTATAAGGGGCTTGTAATAAGGGTCCTGTTATAAGGGGCTTTTATTTGTTATATAGCAGTATTGAAAGTATTAATACCTTCAATACTACTATAAACAACAGATTTGATATTATTTGTTATATATTATCTGTTAAATATAACAAACTAGAAACCCACTAGACGAAAGATTTGTATGAGTAAATTTTAGAAATCAATTATTTCTTTCCATCATCTAGCTCTGTAGAAAGTATGTATATTATATACTTACCAGCCACTTGTTTCCCACAGCATTTAATATTTCTTTATGATCCTTCTTAGTTACGGGAACATCGTCACATTTAGCTCTCCTGCCCATGGTCAGGGTCAGATGAGGCTGGTTCTTCATTAGTCTCAGTGCTTCCTCTTGCTTTATTCCTACAAAACTAGCTCCTGAACAAGGACAATATTCATTAGTCTCAGTGCTTCCTCTTGCTTTATTCCTACAAAACTAGCTCCTGAACAAGGACAATATTCATTAGTCTCAGTGCTTCCTCTTGCTTTATTCCTACAAAACTAGCTCCTGGACAAGGACAATATTCATTAGTCTCAGTGCTTCCTCTTGCTTTATTCCTACAAAACTAGCTCCTGAACAAGGACAATATTCATTAGTCTCAGTGCTTCCTCTTGCTTTATTCCTACAAAACTAGCTCCTGAACAAGGACAATATTCATTAGTCTCAGTGCTTCCTCTTGCTTTATTCCTACAAAACTAGCTCCTGAACAAGGACAATATTCATTAGTCTCAGTGCTTCCTCTTGCTTTATTCCTACAAAACTAGCTCCTGAACAAGGACAATATTCATTAGTCTCAGTGCTTCCTCTTGCTTTATTCCTACAAAACTAGCTCCTGAACAAGGACAATATTCATTAGTCTCAGTGCTTCCTCTTGCTTTATTCCTACAAAACTAGCTCCTGAACAAGGACAATATTCATAAGTCTCAGTGCTTCCTCTTGCTTTATTCCTACAAAACTAGCTCCTGAACAAGGACAATATTCATTAGTCTCAGTGCTTCCTCTTGCTTTATTCCTACAAAACTAGCTCCTGAACAAGGACAATATTCATTAGTCTCAGTGCTTCCTCTTGCTTTATTCCTACAAAACTAGCTCCTGAACAAGGACAATATTCATTAGTCTCAGTGCTTCCTCTTGCTTTATTCCTACAAAACTAGCTCCTGAACAAGGACAATATTCATTAGTCTCAGTGCTTCCTCTTGCTTTATTCCTACAAAACTAGCTCCTGAACAAGGACAATATTCATTAGTCTCAGTGCTTCCTCTTGCTTTATTCCTACAAAACTAGCTCCTGAACAAGGACAATATTCATTAGTCTCAGTGCTTCCTCTTGCTTTATTCCTACAAAACTAGCTCCTGAACAAGGACAATATTCATTAGTCTCAGTGCTTCCTCTTGCTTTATTCCTACAAAACTAGCTCCTGAACAAGGACAATATTCATTAGTCTCAGTGCTTCCTCTTGCTTTATTCCTACAAAACTAGCTCCTGAACAAGGACAATATTCATTAGTCTCAGTGCTTCCTCTTGCTTTATTCCTACAAAACTAGCTCCTGAACAAGGACAATATTCATTAGTCTCAGTGCTTCCTCTTGCTTTATTCCTACAAAACTAGCTCCTGAACAAGGACAATATTCATTAGTCTCAGTGCTTCCTCTTGCTTTATTCCTACAAAACTAGCTCCTGAACAAGGACAATATTCATTAGTCTCAGTGCTTCCTCTTGCTTTATTCCTACAAAACTAGCTCCTGAACAAGGACAATATTCATTAGTCTCAGTGCTTCCTCTTGCTTTATTCCTACAAAACTAGCTCCTGAACAAGGACAATATTCATTAGTCTCAGTGCTTCCTCTTGCTTTATTCCTACAAAACTAGCTCCTGAACAAGGACAATATTCATTAGTCTCAGTGCTTCCTCTTGCTTTATTCCTACAAAACTAGCTCCTGAACAAGGATAATATTCATTAGTCTCAGTGCTTCCTCTTGCTTTATTCCTACAAAACTAGCTCCTGAACAAGGACAATATTCATTAGTCTCAGTGCTTCCTCTTGCTTTATTCCTACAAAACTAGCTCCTGAACAAGGACAATATTCATTAGTCTCAGTGCTTCCTCTTGCTTTATTCCTACAAAACTAGCTCCTGAACAAGGACAATATTCATTAGTCTCAGTGCTTCCTCTTGCTTTATTCCTACAAAACTAGCTCCTGAACAAGGACAATATTCATTAGTCTCAGTGCTTCCTCTTGCTTTATTCCTACAAAACTAGCTCCTGAACAAGGACAATATTCATTAGTCTCAGTGCTTCCTCTTGCTTTATTCCTACAAAACTAGCTCCTGAACAAGGACAATATTCATTAGTCTCAGTGCTTCCTCTTGCTTTATTCCTACAAAACTAGCTCCTGAACAAGGACAATATTCATTAGTCTCAGTGCTTCCTCTTGCTTTATTCCTACAAAACTAGCTCCTGAACAAGGACAATATTCATTAGTCTCAGTGCTTCCTCTTGCTTTATTCCTACAAAACTAGCTCCTGAACAAGGACAATATTCATTAGTCTCAGTGCTTCCTCTTGCTTTATTCCTACAAAACTAGCTCCTGAACAAGGACAATATTCATTAGTCTCAGTGCTTCCTCTTGCTTTATTCCTACAAAACTAGCTCCTGAACAAGGACAATATTCATTAGTCTCAGTGCTTCCTCTTGCTTTATTCCTACAAAACTAGCTCCTGAACAAGGACAATATTCATTAGTCTCAGTGCTTCCTCTTGCTTTATTCCTACAAAACTAGCTCCTGAACAAGGACAATATTCATTAGTCTCAGTGCTTCCTCTTGCTTTATTCCTACAAAACTAGCTCCTGAACAAGGACAATATTCATTAGTCTCAGTGCTTCCTCTTGCTTTATTCCTACAAAACTAGCTCCTGAACAAGGACAATATTCATTAGTCTCAGTGCTTCCTCTTGCTTTATTCCTACAAAACTAGCTCCTGAACAAGGACAATATTCATTAGTCTCAGTGCTTCCTCTTGCTTTATTCCTACAAAACTAGCTCCTGAACAAGGACAATATTCATTAGTCTCAGTGCTTCCTCTTGCTTTATTCCTACAAAACTAGCTCCTGAACAAGGACAATATTCATTAGTCTCAGTGCTTCCTCTTGCTTTATTCCTACAAAACTAGCTCCTGAACAAGGACAATATTCATTAGTCTCAGTGCTTCCTCTTGCTTTATTCCTACAAAACTAGCTCCTGAACAAGGACAATATTCATTAGTCTCAGTGCTTCCTCTTGCTTTATTCCTACAAAACTAGCTCCTGAACAAGGACAATATTCATTAGTCTCAGTGCTTCCTCTTGCTTTATTCCTACAAAACTAGCTCCTGAACAAGGACAATATTCATTAGTCTCAGTGCTTCCTCTTGCTTTATTCCTACAAAACTAGCTCCTGAACAAGGACAATATTCATTAGTCTCAGTGCTTCCTCTTGCTTTATTCCTACAAAACTAGCTCCTGAACAAGGACAATATTCATTAGTCTCAGTGCTTCCTCTTGCTTTATTCCTACAAAACTAGCTCCTGAACAAGGACAATATTCATTAGTCTCAGTGCTTCCTCTTGCTTTATTCCTACAAAACTAGCTCCTGAACAAGGACAATATTCATTAGTCTCAGTGCTTCCTCTTGCTTTATTCCTACAAAACTAGCTCCTGAACAAGGACAATATTCATTAGTCTCAGTGCTTCCTCTTGCTTTATTCCTACAAAACTAGCTCCTGAACAAGGACAATATTCATTAGTCTCAGTGCTTCCTCTTGCTTTATTCCTACAAAACTAGCTCCTGAACAAGGACAATATTCATTAGTCTCAGTGCTTCCTCTTGCTTTATTCCTACAAAACTAGCTCCTGAACAAGGACAATATTCATTAGTCTCAGTGCTTCCTCTTGCTTTATTCCTACAAAACTAGCTCCTGAACAAGGACAATATTCATTAGTCTCAGTGCTTCCTCTTGCTTTATTCCTACAAAACTAGCTCCTGAACAAGGACAATATTCATTAGTCTCAGTGCTTCCTCTTGCTTTATTCCTACAAAACTAGCTCCTGAACAAGGACAATATTCATTAGTCTCAGTGCTTCCTCTTGCTTTATTCCTACAAAACTAGCTCCTGAACAAGGACAATATTCATTAGTCTCAGTGCTTCCTCTTGCTTTATTCCTACAAAACTAGCTCCTGAACAAGGACAATATTCATTAGTCTCAGTGCTTCCTCTTGCTTTATTCCTACAAAACTAGCTCCTGAACAAGGACAATATTCATTAGTCTCAGTGCTTCCTCTTGCTTTATTCCTACAAAACTAGCTCCTGAACAAGGACAATATTCATTAGTCTCAGTGCTTCCTCTTGCTTTATTCCTACAAAACTAGCTCCTGAACAAGGACAATATTCATTAGTCTCAGTGCTTCCTCTTGCTTTATTCCTACAAAACTAGCTCCTGAACAAGGACAATATTCATTAGTCTCAGTGCTTCCTCTTGCTTTATTCCTACAAAACTAGCTCCTGAACAAGGACAATATTCATTAGTCTCAGTGCTTCCTCTTGCTTTATTCCTACAAAACTAGCTCCTGAACAAGGACAATATTCATTAGTCTCAGTGCTTCCTCTTGCTTTATTCCTACAAAACTAGCTCCTGAACAAGGACAATATTCATTAGTCTCAGTGCTTCCTCTTGCTTTATTCCTACAAAACTAGCTCCTGAACAAGGACAATATTCATTAGTCTCAGTGCTTCCTCTTGCTTTATTCCTACAAAACTAGCTCCTGAACAAGGACAATATTCATTAGTCTCAGTGCTTCCTCTTGCTTTATTCCTACAAAACTAGCTCCTGAACAAGGACAATATTCATTAGTCTCAGTGCTTCCTCTTGCTTTATTCCTACAAAACTAGCTCCTGAACAAGGACAATATTCATTAGTCTCAGTGCTTCCTCTTGCTTTATTCCTACAAAACTAGCTCCTGAACAAGGACAATATTCATTAGTCTCAGTGCTTCCTCTTGCTTTATTCCTACAAAACTAGCTCCTGAACAAGGACAATATTCATTAGTCTCAGTGCTTCCTCTTGCTTTATTCCTACAAAACTAGCTCCTGAACAAGGACAATATTCATTAGTCTCAGTGCTTCCTCTTGCTTTATTCCTACAAAACTAGCTCCTGAACAAGGACAATATTCATTAGTCTCAGTGCTTCCTCTTGCTTTATTCCTACAAAACTAGCTCCTGAACAAGGACAATATTCATTAGTCTCAGTGCTTCCTCTTGCTTTATTCCTACAAAACTAGCTCCTGAACAAGGACAATATTCATTTCTATCCAATACGCTATTTAAAGTATCGTGATTTGAACTATCCCTACATATATGTAATAATATAACAATAACATAATAATAATCGCATAGTACAATATACGGGAAACAGTTCGCTCCCAAATGACTCACTGCCACACTTGATGATCTGATCGTGTGGCTTGATAGTGCCTTGTCTGTCCACGTAGCCCCCCTTTATAACGTCCTTCACAAATATACTAACGTACGGCACCAATCTGTCCGGACCCAGTCCGTAAAGGTAAAAACCAAGTCCAAAAGCGTTGTCTTTTTCCAACTCTACCTGGATACCGCAGATGGGAATACAAAAATTACTTTTAAAATATTTTACTGATTATTCTATTAAAATTCTGTTAAGAGCAGATGCAATGGGACAAATGTAAGCAGATGGGACAAATGTAAAGCTGAGTTTGTTACTATGGTAACCAGTTTGTGAAATAAGAAAATACCTGGTACAGGTGAGTTTCTGGGGAGAGCGCTGCGTGGAGCTGGGCGATGCACCAATTCTTATCAAGATTTAAATTATCGTATCTGGAGAGTAAAAATATTGATTTAGCTACAGCTGTCTATATAACACAGACACACTTCGCCGGAACGAGACACAGTAGTTACACAGTAGTTACACAGTAGTTACACAGTAGTTACACAGTAGTTACACAGTAGTTACACAGTAGTTACACAGTAGTTACACAGTAGTTACACAGTAGTTACACAGTAGTTACACAGTAGTTACACAGTAGTTACACAGTAGTTACACAGTAGTTACACAGTAGTTACACAGTAGTTACACAGTAGTTACACAGTAGTTACACAGTAGTTACACAGTAGTTACACAGTAGTTACACAGTAGTTACACAGTAGTTACACAGTAGTTACACAGTAGTTACACAGTAGTTACACAGTAGTTACACAGTAGTTACACAGTAGTTACACAGTAGTTACACAGTAGTTACACAGTAGTTACACAGTAGTTACACAGTAGTTACACAGTAGTTACACAGTAGTTACACAGTAGTTACACAGTAGTTACACAGTAGTTACACAGTAGTTACACAGTAGTTACACAGTAGTTACACAGTAGTTACACAGTAGTTACACAGTAGTTACACAGTAAGTAGTTACACAGTAGTTACACAGTAGTTACACAGTAGTTACACAGTAGTTACACAGTAGTTACACAGTAGTTACACAGTAGTTACACAGTAGTTACACAGTAGTTACACAGTAGTTACACAGTAGTTACACAGTAGTTACACAGTAGTTACACAGTAGTTACACAGTAGTTACACAGTAGTTACACAGTAGTTACACAGTAGTTACACAGTAGTTACACAGTAGTTACACAGTAGTTACACAGTAGTTACACAGTAGTTACACAGTAGTTACACAGTAGTTACACAGTAGTTACACAGTAGTTACACAGTAGTTACACAGTAGTTACACAGTAGTTACACAGTAGTTACACAGTAGTTACACAGTAGTTACACAGTAGTTACACAGTAGTTACACAGTAGTTACACAGTAGTTACACAGTAGTTACACAGTAGTTACACAGTAGTTACACAGTAGTTACACAGTAGTTACACAGTAGTTACACAGTAGTTACACAGTAGTTACACAGTAGTTACACAGTAGTTACACAGTAGTTACACAGTAGTTTACGTATCTAGCGCGTATCTAGCGCCAATTTCATAAAATTATTAACATTGAACATGGCTATTTTTTGTTAACTTGAACAATGAAATCGAATATTTTGAACTAAAAATAAACTTGCTAAACGACTTTTGATCAGTCTAAATGAAAATGAAAAATGGTAAAGGGGGTATAAAAGTTGACGGTCGTGCTTGCCAGCATCGCGGCGACTCACGCTTGTTTTCTTTGATCAATCAACTCTAGCTCCTCCTTAGTGTACATTAACGCTATTATTTGTTCCTTGACGGAGAAACGGACCGAGAGAAACTTGCCGGCAACATCTGCAGAGTATTTGATTATAAAGGGTTCAGTTAGTGAGGACCACAGAAAGTATTTATTAACATCACGAGATTATAGAAAGTTAATTTTCAACATATTGACATTTGTATAATTGTGAAATAGTTCGGATTCTAATCAATAAACTTTAAGTTCATACAATATTTGTGTAACTATAAAAAAACCGTAAATATGAAAACAAATTGAAACCTCGATGGCGTTTTTTCAGCTCTTTCTTTTGTTCTGTAAGTAGACATGACTTCGTGCCGGGTGCTTTATCTTCTAACTTACTTCTTTTCTTGCCGGTCGAGAATATTCCTAGAAACATTACTGATTGAGAATTTCTTTGAGAATGATCTGGTTACCAGAATAACATGTATCCTAAATTAGTAGAATTCAAAAATCATCTTTGTCAGACAAATTGTCTTAAATCATTTTGTAAAAGTATCAATCATAAATACAAATGAGTATGATATGAATGAGAACTGATATAATCCCTAATAAATCCCTATGATGAAAAATAAAAAAAACTATTTCGAAAGTTTGGGAAGTTAATTAAATGAATTTCCACTCATTCCTAAATAAATTTGGTTGGTCTTATTGACAATGAAAGTTGGATAAGTAAGTGGGTCACCCTGCTATATTAGGCCATCTCATTCATTGAAAATGAACAAAGAGCTGTCATGGAGGTAAGCTCTTAATTAAATTTAACGATTGGCACTGAAGCTATGAGTGTCGGAGCTAATAATGTGATCCTAAATAATGTGGTTCGAGATGAAAATTTGATTTGGTTTATTTACTGTCTTGGTTTATCCGCTGTCTCTCTATCGTAACAATTTTGATAACAAAAATATAGAGCAAACAATTCGTATTTAATAAAATAGGTAAAAATACTTTAGGTTCAATAAAATGTTCTAGGATATTACATACCTGCGAGGCTCGGCATATTACAGAAATGAAAATAAAAACCAAATTCTTAAGAAAATAATCGGGAAAGAGACGAGATAAAGTGACGGAAATAGGATTTATGAGGAGTAATAGGATTACAAGGCTACCCCGAATAACCAAAATAACCTAATTCAAATCTACGAGAAATAATGGTATAAAGGGACGCGCCTCCAATAAATCCAGCAAATGTAAAGCGGCTCATTCCTCGGAATAATTTATCTGGGGTTGCAGAGTCCTATAGATATATAAAACATGATAAATATTATGAATATTAAGTTGTGAAATTTTTCAGACTGTTATAGGGTAACACCCACCTGTAGTAACTTGATCTGGTGTGATAAGATGGTTTACTTTTAGTCTAGAACCATTTGCAATGCTAATGTTATATTTATAACTGCTGGCCGGTTAACAGTAGAAATAGGTGAAATTAACGATCTTCTAAAAATAAGCGTGAGTTCAGAGACAGGAAAGTATGACTAATGAACTCATAAGGGTTATACCTATATTTATATAAGTATAATATTTGATATTAGACAACATTGTAACAACACCAATTGGGGACAAGAGAGCTGGGCGTAGTCAAAGGGGGATTGGAGGGGCGTACGGAGGGACGTACGCTCCCCCCTGAAAAAGGAAAGTCCCTCACAAAGCGCGGGACCGTGTGGCTGCAGCTTACTACCTAGCTTCTTACAGTAATACTAATTACTTACTAGTTATAGTGGTTCTATTTTCTAATTGAACCTCATAATCAGCCTGCTGTTCATTTTTACACCCTGAATGACTTTTTGATTTGCAGGTGCTCTCCGAGTCTAAAATTAACACAAGATCCTGAACATTTTGATGGGGATAAGAGAGCGGTACGTAGTACGTACGTTTAAAACCTCTCCCTTCCTTTCTGTCCTTTGGTTTGCGGTTGAAGATGATAGAGCCGTCGTCAAATAACTCCCCCTCGTGGTCCTCAATGTACTTTCCTATGTACTTCTTTTTTGGAATACCTGCGGGTAAATTAACTCACTATAATAACTAATAGGAACCGGAAATTTGGTATCACGAGGAGATAATTAAAGATTCAACAGTAAAAATTTTGATATGATTTAGACTTATTGATTGAAATCGAAGAAATTAAAAAGTGGTCATATCCTGGCCTTGACAATAAGTTCGTAGTGGAATACTTCTGGCCTGGGGAAATTTTGATTTTGACGGTCATTAAAATGAACGCTAGGGCCTCCAATTAATATCCGTTCAAATAAAGTCCGATAAGTGCTCTAACTGAACAATAACCTTCAGGAACTGTCTCAGAAGTCGGATCCTCCTCCGGCTTAGATTTGGTGGAAGCACTGCGTTTCTGAAATAAACATTATCTGCTTCAGATTGCGTACTTTTTTGAAAGGTGAAGCTTATCTGATCATCAAACCAAAGACTGTACGATGACTTTTAATTTCGGGGCCGCTTTGGCAGTCGCTATCATAATTTGCAAAGTTTCATGACTGATTGTGACATTACTTTGATAATTTACAGATTTACCTATTGTACATAATCTAAAACGATTATTAGAACACGTGATGAACATAGAATAAGTAATAACACTTACCAATTTAATATGAACACCAGATGATTAATATTATGTAGGAGCAATTACACTCACCAATTTAATATGAACACCAGATAATTAATATTATGTAGGAGCAATTACACTCACTAATTTAATATGAACACCAGATAATTAATTTTATGTAGGAGCAATTAAACTCACCAATTTAATATGAACACCAGATAATTGATATTATGTATGAGCAATTACATTTACCAATAAAATATGAACAGCAGATAATTAATATTATGTAGGAGCAATTACACTCACCAATTTAATATGAACACCAGATAATTATAGTATCATGTAGAAGGGGAAAATGGACGATTAGGTTTGGCCTCTATACGGCCACTATACGGCCTTTATACGGCCTCTATACGGCCTCTATACGGCCTTTATACGACCTTTATACGGCCTTTATACGGCTACTATACGGCCTTTATACGGTTATTATACGGCCACTATACGGCCTCTATACGGCCTCTATACGGCCTTTATACGGCCACTATACGGCCACTTAAAAGATATTTTACATGAAACCGGCTACTAACCGGCACTTAAAAAGTGGCTACTAGCCGGCTAGCTAGTGACCACAAAGTGGCTACTAACCAGCTACTAGGCGGTCACTAGCCGGCTATTAGCTGAGCTCTAAAGCAGACCTACTTTCTCGAGGTTCCAAACCGGCTACTAGCCGGCTACTAGCCGGCTCTTGAAAAGTGGTCACTAGCCGGTTACTAACCGGCTACTAACCGGCACTTAGCTACGTTATAAAGAAGACCCGATTATTCGAGGTTCCAAACCGGCTACTAACGGGTGATGACTAAAAAATGGGACTTTTTTCAAGGGTCTTTTTAGTGTCGATAAAACTATTTTTAGTTCAAACCAATGAAACAGCGTTGTAAAGCGGGCAATTTTGAACAAGTATGGTCAATGACAAGCGCCCATGAGCCCATTTTTATTGGTTCAAGAGGGCTTCTTTCTTCAAGCTCAAAAATCCGTCTTCACAGTTGGGCCTAAAATCGTGTTGGCGCAGTCTCTTCTTTTGTGCCCTAAGGCCCATGTATGCTTGCTAGCCATATTCTGGGCATGGACATGTGTTGCCAGGACTCCAAAGAAGTCCTCTATGGGTTGAGATTGTCAAAATTTACTTTGGTCGATAACTTTTGGGACGAAATTAACCCTATGGGCTGCAAGTAAAGATGTGGTTTTCGCAGAAAAATACGATCTAGCCCCATCCTAACGAACCACCTTTCACCCTTTGGGGATATTTTCTTGTAGGAACAACACCAGGCAAGGCTCCAAGCACTTTGATTTTTGCGTGGTACCATTATAGACCATGCTAAAGCCGATAGTTTGACCTAGCCTCGATCTTTCACACGGTAAAATTTTACCCCTCAGGTTGTTTTGAGCTCAAATATCTTCTAACCGGTTTTAGCTACGCTGATGGGTGTTGAACCCTAGTCTTAAGCATACAATTCCCTACTTCTTGACGTATGGACAACAGTCAGACCGAAATACTTCTTCTCAACAATAGCAAAATATAGCGTTTAGTCAAGATTATACATATTTTCGAATTTGCTCACGACTTCCCATTTTTGGGTGTTATCTCTAATCTTAGGGGCTTTGACACCTTTCAGACAACAAACATTTAGTCATGGGACTGCCCTGGAAATATAACCGAGAGTACAGCCAAAACGGATCACCAGGGATCTCGGTAGGGTGCCGGTTATGTGGCTCACCAGCAGTTCCTATTGGGTCATTTTCGTAAGTGCTATAATACAGGATGGCCTTTTTGTCTCTGTAGCTCTAGCTACCGACCTCTGCTGCTAAAATCGCTTTAGGATGTGATAGATAGGAAGTTTAGGCATACTCTCTGCTAACAATTTTTTGGTATGGAAGCTTTAACTAACCGTGAGGCGACTTCTGTGAACAGTGCTTTTCTGTAAAATGTTTATAGGACCCCTCCCCTAGTTCGAGACCATTATCGGGGACAAAGATCAACCAATTTGATCAAATGGGGGCGGAAACTGTTCGAGTATCGTTCAGAGTAACTGGTGGTTGTGGTAAAATATCAAAATTTTGTTCAGGTGGAAGCTGAGGAATTTAAAACATGTAGTCCCATTTTTTATTCATCACCCGTTAATCGGCCACTACTTGCTATTTTCCGATTAGTTGCAGTCAAATAGTCACAGCAGGTCACAATTTAACTTTGATTCTTTCTTACAGTAGGCAACTAACCGTATAAAGGCCGTATAGTGGCCGTGTTGGGGCCATATAGAGGCCGTATAAAGGCCGTATGAAGGCCATATAGAGGCTGTATAGAGACCGTATAGTGGCCGTATAGAGGCCAAACCTAATCGCCCATATTCCCTGTAGAAGCAATTACACTTACCAGTTTGTCCGAAACACAGCTTTTAGATCTTGTCGGTTTGTTGGAGTCCGTCTCTTCTAGACTCACTTGTTTCTGAAGAGGAGATAAGATAAGGGTGGCAGGGGGCTAGGGGTAGTGGGGGGGGGGTGGGGTTAGGGGGCACACTTTAAGTTTACCCTCTAGTAACTTTACTGAATCATCAGAGCTTCAGGTTATAGGATTGAGAATTTAGGCAGTTCTTTTATGCAGGGTACTGATCACGTGCAGGGTACTGATCACGTGCAGGGTACTGATCACGTGCAGGGTAATGATCACGTACAGGGTACTGATCACGTTCAGGGTACTGATCACTTGCAGGGTACTGATCACGTGCAGGGTACTGATCACTTGCAGGGTACTGATCACGTGCAGGGTACTGATCACGTGCAGGGTACTGATCACGTGCAGGGTACTGATCACTTGCAGGGTACTGATCACGTGCAGGGTACTGATCACTTGCAGGGTACTGATCACGTGCAGGGTACTGATCACGTGCAGGTTACTGATCACGTGCAGGGTACTGATCACGTGCAGGGTACTGATCACGTGCAGGGTACTGATCACGTGCAGGGTACTGATCACGTGCAGGGTACTGATCACGTGTACCTGTTTATCAAAAGTCAGCTTCTTCTGGTTTTCTCTAAACAGCTCCAAGACATATTTCCTATCCTCAAAACTAGCTGGACTTGTTGGCGTGTAGGGGGCTTGGTCTGAAGCTGTTTGGAAATTGGAGATTGGTTTATACCCTATAAAGCTGTAACAGTATACCTTATCGGACGTTATTCGATCGGACATTGCGTGAACGGACATTAAAATGAACAATCGAAGGCATTCATGATCGGTATCTAATTTGAGTACCTCATCGGACTTTATTTGAACGGATCACATTAAAATTAACTCCGGCGTCCAATCAATGTCCGTTCAAATTAAATCTGATACGGTATGTATTATATAATAGCTTCAATAACACATCAACAATAACGGTAAATAAAACATAAAGCTGTTTTATGTTAAGAAACAGCATAGATGGTGTATGTTTATCTCAGCGCACGTTATTTTTAAACAATGTACGTGTATAAAAGAGCGAGATAATACCAAACAGAACGAGTTGGAACATTGCCAAAGGTAGTTCGACTACTCACTACTGTTAACAACAGTAGACTACTGTAAAACTACTGTAAAACAACGTGGGGACTTTCTCAGAACACTGAGTGAGAACTCGATATAATGTAGTGCAGTATATTTTACTATAATAGATATAACTCGCCCTGCTGTATAATAGATATAGATTATTTAAGGATGAGAATCAATGAAGAATTGACACATACGAACGTGCATGATAAATTAGAATAACAGAGAGAAGAAAGGAATATTGTGACATTGTAAAGTGAGACTTGGTGTGTAATTCTTGAGTAACGGATGATCAGGTTGCTATGGTGATTAATTTGTAGATAATGGACCCATGTATGACTAGGAAGATAATGTGTTGTGGGAACTTCAGGCGAGGGAGGGAGGTGGGGATGACAAAATGACTTACCTTGCTCGCTCATACTGCCGATAACAAATAACAGTCTCAGCAATAATCGGGAAATTAGCGACAAAACGCAACTTATAAAAGTTGTAATGTAAAATATTTTGAACTGATTGCCCTTCGTATTTTGTGAGGCTGCTCCAAATTACGCTGCTTTTCTCAGAATTAGATTATTATCAGCCATCTCGTGTTTCATGGGCTACTGGTAGTCACGTGATGCCCATATAAGGGAGTGGTGTTTAATCAACTTTTTAACATTTGTTGAACTCTTATCTATGTCTGAATTTCGACGGTTCGGCACATAGTCCGCACATATATTATATGGGTACGAGGGTTAAGGGTCCGTTATCTATATCAATATATTGGGTACGAGGGTTGAGGGTCTGTTATCTATATCAATATATTATATAGGTACGACGGTTGAGGGTCCTTTATCTATATCAATATATTATATGGATACGAGGGTTGAGGGTCCTTTATCTATATCAATATAATATATGGGTACGAAGGTTGAAGGTCCGTTATCTATATCAAAATATTATATGGGTACGAGGGTTGAGGGTCCTTTACCTATATCAGAATATTACATGCGTACGAGGGTTGAGGGTCCGTTATCTATATCAATATATTGGGTACGAGGGTTGAGGGTCCGTTATCTATATCAATATATTATGTGGGTACGAGGGTTGATGGTCCGTTACCTATATCAGAATATTATTTGGGTACGAGGGTTGAGGGTCCGTTATCTAAATCAATATATTGGGTACGAGGGTTGAGGGTCCGTTATCTATATCAGAATATTACATGGGTACGAGGGTTGAGGGTCCGTTACCTATATCAGAATATTATATGGGTACGAGAGTTGAGGGTCCGTTATCTAAATCAATATATTGGGTACGAGGGTTGAGGGTCCGTTACATATATCAGAATATTATATGGGTACGAGGGTTGAGGGTCCGTTACCTATTTCTTGCTCCTTAGGGATGTCCAAGAAGTTAGGAACAGACCTATGAATAGAGGATCTGCTTCTCACTCTATGCACTACATTATCTGTGCTAGGAGTGCTAGTTGCCTGATAACTGGTGCTAGGAGTGCTATTTGGCTGGTGACACGTTACAGAACTACAATCTGGCGTCTGCTCATGGTCAGGATTTGAAGAGTTTTGCAGGACTTCTTTTCCTGCAAGTAGTTTGGGAGATCTATTAGTGGTTCTAGATCTGATCTAGTAGTTAGTACTCTAGTAGCAGGGTTATTAGAGTTTTGGGAGATCTATTGGTGGTTCTAGATCTGATCTAGTAGTTTGTACTCTAGTAAGAGTAGCAGGGTTACTAGAGTATTGGGAGATCTATTAGTGGTTCTAGATCTGATCTAGTAGTTTGTACTCTAGTAGCAGGGTTACTAGAGTATTGGGAGATCTATTAGTGGTTCTAGATCTGATCTAGTAGTTCGTACTCTAGTAGCAGGGTTACTAGAGTAGGTACTGGGAGATCTATTAGTGGTTCTATATCTGATCTAGTAGTTTGTACTCTAGTAGCAGGGTTACTAGAGTACTGGGAGATCTATTAGTGGTTCTAGATCTGATCTAGTAGTTCGTACTCTAGTAGCAGGGTTACTAGAGTATTGGGAGATCTATTAGTGGTTCTAGATCTGATCTAGTAGTTAGTACTCTAGTAGCAGGGTTACTAGAGTTTTGGGAGATCTATTGGTGGTTCTAGATCTGATCTAGTAGTTTGTACTCTAGTAAGAGTAGCAGGGTTACTCGAGTTTTGGGAGATCTATTAGTGGTTCTAGATCTGATCTAGTAGTTCGTACTCTAGTAGCAGGGCTACTAGAGTACTGGGAGATCTATTAGTGGTTCTAGATCTGATCTAGTAGTTTGTACTCTAGTAGCAGGGTTACTAGAGTACTGGGAGATCTATTAGTGGTTCTAGATCTGATCTAGTAGTTCGTACTCTAGTAGCAGGGTTACTAGAGTACTGGGAGATCTATTGGTGGTTCTAGATCTGATCTAGTAGTTTGTACTCTAGTAAGAGTAGCAGGGTTACTAGAGTACTGGGAGATCTGTTAGTGGTTCTAGATCTGATCTAGTAGTTTGTACTCTAGTAGCAGGGTTACTAGAGTATTGGGAGATCTATTAGTGGTTCTTGATCTGATCTATTAGTTTGTACTCTAGTAGCAGGGTTACTAGAGTACTGGGAGATCTATTAGTGGTTCTAGATCTGATCTAGTAGTTTGTACTCTAGTAGCAGGGTTACTAGAGTACTGGGAGATCTATTAGTGGTTCTAGATCTGATCTAGTAGTTCGTACTCTAGTAGCAGGGTTACTAGAGTATTGGGAGATCTATTAGTGGTTCTAGATCTGATCTAGTAGTTAGTACTCTAGTAGCAGGGTAACTAGAGTACTGGGAGATCTATTGGTGGTTCTAGATCTGATCTAGTAGTTTGTACTCTAGTAAGAGTAGCAGGGTTACTAGAGTATTGGGAGATCTGTTAGTGGTTCTAGATCTGATCTAGTAGTTTATACTCTAGTAGCAGGGTTACTAGAGTACTGGGAGATCTGTTAGTGGTTCTAGATCTGATCTAGTAGTTTGTACTCTAGTAGCAGGGTTACTAGAGTATTGGGAGATCTATTAGTGGTTCTTGATCTGATCTAGTAGTTTGTACTCTAGTAGCAGGGTTACTAGAGTATTGGGAGATCTATTAGTGGTTCTAGATCTGATCTAGTAGTTTGTACTCTAGTAGCAGGGTTACTAGAGTATTGGGAGATCAAGAACCATTTTTGAACAAATTTAATAAGAATCTAAAGAACCCCCACAAAATGTTTTCCATCGCCAATCGATGGGCATAACTTTCTACAACAAGTTGAAGTTGGTCATGTTTGGTGGTTCCTGAGGTGAAGAACTTCATCAGAATTACTGCAATTATCACATTAAGGGGACATATACAAAAAGCTTTTATGTTCTGAACAACTGTAACTTCATATTAAGAAAGTATACATTAAAACAATAAGATTTGATACATTAAAAATTATTTTTGAGGAACCGCACTTTCGAAAAAATAAATATTTTCTTTTTCGAAAATTTTGAAAATTTTGAGAAGTCTGTCACTGTTATACCGATATTTCAGTCGTTTTTAACTTTTTTTGGCTGATTTTTTAACTGAACATTATTCGCAATCCGTATATAATTAAAATATAGATGACGAAGTTACAGACCAAACAAGGTCGAGAGAAGCAAAATTGAAATTTTTGTACAAATCAAAGTTGTATATTTTACCATTCACCCAGGTCATAAGATATCGCTTTAAAAATTCTTGTGAGTGTAGCTGATGATCATATCCAACTTTTTGGAACAGGATTTCTCTCAGTTTTGAGTTTTAAGGTATGAAATGTGGCCTAAACGACTTAGTAAAATTCATCGTAAAAAAGGGCCAAACATGGCAGATTTAAGGCTTAAAATGCATATAACTCAAAAAATATCAGTTTTTTTGAAATAATTTTTACAGAATCGTAATCAGCTCGAGAAGACGAATCTTTTAGTACCAAATAGGTGATTTTAGAAGACAAATTGTCTTAATAATTTTCCAGCTCGAACACAAGGGTCCCCCCTTGTATAAATTTTGTACAAATTGTACACATTTAAAAATAAATTTTGTGTCTTTAACTATTATAAATTTGGTACTAAAAGATTTGTCTTACTAAGCTGATTACGATCCTGTAAAAATTATTTCAAAAAACTGATACTTTTTGAGTTATAGGCATTTTAAGCCTTAAATCTGCCACGTTTGGCCCTTTTTTATGATGAATTTTATTAAGTCGTTTAGGCCACATTTCATACCTTAAAACTCAAAACTGAGAGAAATCCTGTTCCAAAAAGTTGGATATGATCATCAGCTACACTCACAAGAATTTTTAAAGCGATATCTTATGACCTGGGTGAATGGTAAAATATACAACTTTGATTTTTACAAAAATTTCAATTTTGCTTCTCTCGACCTTGTTTGGTCTGTAACTTCGTCATCTATATTTTAATTATGAAATCCTTTGAAGGGCTTCTTGTACGGATTGCAAATAATGTTCAGGAAAAAAATCAGCCAAAAAAAGTTAAAAACGACTGAAATATCGGTATAACAGTGACAGACTTCTCAAAATTTTCAAAATTTTCGAAAAAGAAAATATTTATTTTTTCGAAAGTGCGGTTCCTCAAAAATAATTTTTAATGTATTAAATCTTATTGTTTTAATGTATACTTTCTTAATATGAAGTTACAGCCTGTTCAGAACATAAAAGCTTTTTGTATATGTCCCCTTAATGGGGGCAAATGATGGTTTGGAAGCTCTTAGTCAATTAATTTGTAAGCTATGATGACATATCATATTATGACGCATTTAAATTGTTGACCAATTTCTTAACAACATACGCTGAGAAAAAATCTTATTATTTTTTCACAGATGGTTCTCCCATGCTAAGTGGTAAGTGTAATTATGAATTATGTAGAATTTTTTTAAATTTCCGAACATATTTAATCGAAGAACATTTTGTTGCAAGCGCAAAACCACACACCTGACCTTGTCATGTCAAATCTTTGTACCGTGTAGTAGTTGCCCATAGCGATTAGAGACCGGTCTCTCAGATCCCGGAGGTCTGTTAGATCCCTCAGATTGACTCTGTTCATCTGACTGATGTGACCATCAGACACAGCCCGGCTCATTCCCGACCTGGCAGAGTTGCTAGAACCCTCACTTTCGTACCTGAACAACAACATTTTAACTATCATGCTTGCTAAGTGCTTACATTGCCCATACTTAGAACCCACCAAATTAGGGCCTTACAGACTGGGTAGTGACAGACCTACGGTCACAAAAAGTGATCCATCGTTAGAATTTGATTGGCCTAAAAATGGTTAGATCAGAGTATCTGAGCCGACCCGGTGTTAATACGCGGCCTAGATCCTAGGTATAAATATTGGAAGATTGAAGACATTAGTTATATCGCATTTTACCAATTGTCAGCCGATAAGGTATTCAAATATTTTATTTAGAAGCACTATCCTTGGTTTAGAACTTTTATTTGATAATATATAATACACGAAGATTACCCTAGCAACATGAAGTTTACCCTAGTCCCTAAGCAACATGAAGATTGCCCTGGCAACATGAAGATTGCCCTAGTAACATGAAGATTACCCTACTAACATGAAAATTACCCTAGCAGCAGGGATTGGGCGACCTCTGTCCGACAGCGACATCTGTCCGACTCAGACAATAGGTTATTCGGACAATAGTTTATGTCGGATCCTACCGTACGATTTTCTTGAAACTTTCCATAAAGTATGGTGGTTATAGGACAAATAATCTGTGTAAGTTTGAGCGAGTTTCTATGTGCCAAATTTGAGATATCTCCTTAAACACACAAAATAACTAAAATTCGGTTTGCAGTGGTACCAAGGCATATATCTGGAGATCGAACGATACGATTTTCTTGAAACTTTCTAGATAGTAAGATAGCTTTAAGACAAATAATTTGTGTAAATTTGAGATATCACTTCAAACACAATAAAATAGTGCTGTCGGACAGATGTCGCTGTCGGACAGATGTCGTGTTACCGCAACATGACAATTACCCTAGCAACATGAAGGTTACCCTAGCAACATGAAGGTTACCCTAGGTAACAACGTAAGTCCAAAAACTGCAAACCAGTAGAAAATATACTAGTAGAATTGAATACAGGTTGAAGAGTATATTATGTATAAGAACAACAGAAAAAGAACAAAAACTAACAATACACCCAAAATGACAGTGATTATAAAAAGGTAGTTGGTCAGAACACCGGAAACTTTAGCTGTGACAGCTTTACAGCTGCTGATAATTAAAATTTGATCCACAGTTGAGCGAAAAGGGACGTTTGAGGTAAATGAGGCTGTTAAACAAAAGGTGGACACTACGGTGGACAAACAATACTCAATTTAACATGGACACTACGGTGGAGAACAAGATAGCGGACAAACAATACTCACTTTAACATGGACACCACGGTAGAGAACAAGATAGCGGACAATATAGATCAAGATAGCGGACACACAATAGTCATTTTAACATGGACATCACAGCGGAGGACCCAAACAGCTCAATGATACAAAAATATTGGACAATATTGCGGAGTGTCCTGATACTTTTAGGTACCATAATAAATGCAAAAGGGATAATAAATAGAACAGTGTTTCAAGAGTTTTAGCAGCAAGTTTAAAAGGTTCCCTCCACCAGCTCCTGCTCCAGAACCTAAAACTAAAAGGGCCCTCCACCAGCTCCTGCTCCAGAACCTACAACTAAAGGGGTCCTCCACCAACTCCTGCTCCAGAACCTACAACTAAAGGGGCCCTCCACCAACTCCTGCTCCAGAACCTACAACTAAAGGGGCCCTCCACCAGCTCCTGCTCCAGAACCTACAACTAAAGGGGTCCTCCACCAGCTCCTGCTCCAGAACCTAAAACTAAAAGGGCCCTCCACCAGCTCCTGCTCCAGAACCTACAACTAAAGGGGTCCTCCACCAACTCCTGCTCCAGAACCTACAACTAAAGGGGCCCTCCACCAACTCCTGCTCCAGAACCTACAACTAAAGGGGCCCTCCACCAGCTCCTGCTCCAGAACCTACAACTAAAGGGGTCCTCCACCAACTCCTGCTCCAGAACATACAACTAAAGGGGTCCTCCACCAACTCTTGCTCCAGAACATAAAACTAAAGGGGTCCTCCACCAGCTCCTGCTCCAGAACCTACAACTAAAGGGGTCCTCCACCAGCTCCTGCTCCAGAACATACAACTAAAGGGGTCCTCCACCAGCTCCTGCTCTAGAACCTACAACTAAAGGAGCCCTCCGCCAGCTCCTGCTCCAGAACCTACAACTAAAGGCGCCCTCCACCAACTCCTGCTCCAAAACCTACAACTAAAGGAGCCCTCCACCAACTCCTGCTCCAAAACCTACAACTAAAGGGGCCCTCCACCAGCTCCTGCTCCAGAACCTACAACTAAAGGGGCCCTCCACCAACTCCTGCTCCAGAACCTACAACTAAAGGGGTCCTCCACCAACTCCTGCTCCAGAACCTACAACTAAAGGGGTCCTCCACCAGCTCCTGCTTCAGAACCTACAACTAAAGGAGCCCTCCACCAGCTCATGCTCCAGAACATACAACTAAAGGGGTCCTCCACCAGCTTCTGCTCCAGAACCTACAACTAAAGGGGCCCTCCACCAACTCCTGCTCCAGAACCTACAACTAAAGGGGCCCTCCACCAATTCCTGCTCCAGAACATACAACTAAAGGGGTCCTCCACCAGCTCCTGCTCTAGAGCCTACAACTAAAGGAGCCCTCCACCAGCTCCTGCTCCAGAACCTACAACTAAAGGGGCCCTCCACCAACTCCTGCTCCAGAACATACTCAACATACTAAGGGGTCCTCCACCAGCTCCTGCTCCAGAACCTACAACTAAAGGGGTCCTCAACCAGCTCCTGCTCCAGAACATACAACTAAAGGGGTCCTCCACCAGCTCCTGCTCTAGAACCTACAACTAAAGGAGCCCTCCGCCAGCTCCTGCTCCAGAACCTACAACTAAAGGAGCCCTCCACCAACTCCTGCTCCAAAACCTACAACTAAAGGAGCCCTCCACCAACTCCTGCTCCAGAACCTACAACTAAAGGGGCCCTCCACCAGCTCCTGCTCCAGAACCTACAACTAAAGGGGCCCTCCACCAACTCCTGCTCCAGAACCTACAACTAAAGGGGTCCTCCACCAACTCCTGCTCCAGAACCTACAACTAAAGGGGTCCTCCACCAGCTCCTGCTCTAGAACCTACAACTAAAGGAGCCCTCCACCAGCTCATGCTCCAGAACATACAACTAAAGGGGCCCTCCACCAGCTTCTGCTCCAGAACCTACAACTAAAGGGGCCCTCCACCAACTACTGCTCCAGAACCTACAACTAAAGGGGCCCTCCACCAATTCCTGCTCCAGAACATACAACTAAAGGGGTCCTCCACCAGCTCCTGCTCTAGAACCTACAACTAAAGGAGCCCTCCACCAGCTCCTGCTCCAGAACCTACAACTAAAGGAGCCCTCCACCAACTCCTGCTCCAAAACCTACAACTAAAGGGGCCCTCCACCAGCTCCTGCTCCAGAACCTACAACTAAAGGGGCCCTCCACCAGCTCCTGCTCCAGAACATACAACTAAAGAGGTCCTCCACAAGCTTCTGCTCCATAACGTACAACTAAACGGGTCCTCCACCAGCTCCAGAACCAACTCTGGGATCTGGAAAGACCCCGTGTCGGTGGTTAGTGGCAGTGTTGGAAACAGCCACAAACTATTTCGGATTTCAGAAATGAAAGTCGGGGACTCAAGAGCATTAAGATTTCTCAGTCCCATGAAGTTTAACGAAGACAACATCCATAAAAAAGTGTATCTTTTATTTTATAAAAGTTTATTTTATAAAGTGTATCTTTTGTCAAACATACCTGGCTCTAATGATACTGCGAGCACTGCCACACTCACTGGCGGAACTCCTTGGCCTTTTTAACACTCTCTGTTTCAGCTTCCTCAACATCACTACAACCTATACTAATAGTACTAGTATTATACTACTGTACTGTATAAAAGTAAAACTATACTAGTAGTATTATACTAGTGTACTGTATAAAAGTATAAACTACACTAGTAGTATTATACTAGTGTACTGTATAAAAGTATATACAAACCAAACTGCAGTGGAACTAGGCTTGGCAAGACAAAGTAGCGTTATCTATATCCCTCGCCACGGGAAATGAAACTTGAAACTTGATCGTGAACAGATAAAGACATATTTCTCAAAAATTGGGGTGGAATTTTCATTTATATATAGTACGTCATTCTGAAGTACATGATATTTGTAGCCTTGGATTTGTGCCAGCTGTTTCGTATTCTCAATACAGCGTACAAAGTGTAAATGTACGCGTTCTTGTGCTGACATTGTATTTGTATTCTCAATACAGCGTACAAAGTATAAACGTACCCGTTCTTGTGTTGACATTGTATTTGTATTCTTAATACAGTGTAAAAAGTATAAACGTACCCGTTCTTGTGCTGACATTGTATTTGTATTTTCAATACAGTGTACAAAGTGTAAACGTACCCGTTCTTGTGCTGACATTGTATTTGTATTCTCAATACAGCGTAAAAAGTATAAACGTACCAGTTCTTGTGATGATATTGTATTTGTATTCTCAATACAGCGTAAAAAGTATAAACGTACCAGTTCTTGTGATGACATTGTATTTGTATTCTCAATACAGCGTAAAAAGTATAAACGTACCAGTTCTTGTGATGACATTGTATTTGTATTCTCAATACAGCGTAAAAAGTATAAACGTACCCGTTCTTGTGCTGACATTGTATTTGTATTCCCAATACAGCGTACAAAGTGTAAATGTACCAGTTCTTGTGATGGTATTGTATTTGTATTCTCAATACAGCGTAAAAAGTATAAACGTACCAGTTCTTGTGATGACATTGTATTTGTATTTTCAATACAGTGTACAAAGTGTAAACGTACCCGTTCTTGTGCTGACATTGTATTTGTATTCTCAATACAGCGTAAAAAGTATAAACGTACCAGTTCTTGTGATGGTATTGTATTTGTATTCTCAATACAGCGTAAAAAGTATAAACGTACCAGTTCTTGTGATGACATTGTATTTGTATTCTCAATACAGCGTAAAAAGTATAAACGTACCAGTTCTTGTGATGACATTGTATTTGTATTCTCAATACAGCGTAAAAAGTATAAACGTACCCGTTCTTGTGATGACATTGTATTTGTATTCTCAATACAGCGTACGAAGTGTAAACGTACCCGTTCTTGTGCTGACATTGTATTTGTATTCTCAATACAGTGTACAAAGTATAAACGTACCCGTTCTTGTGCTGACATTGTATTTGTATTCTCAATACAGCGTAAAAAGTATAAACGTACCAGTTCTTGTGATGACATTGTATTTGTATTCTCAATACAGCGTAAAAAGTATAAACGTACCCGTTCTTGTGCTGACATTGTATTTGTATTCTCAATACAGCGTAAAAAGTATAAACGTACCAGTTCTTGTGATGACATTGTATTTGTATTCTCAATACAGTGTACAAAGTATAAACGTACCCGTTCTTGTGCTGATATTGTATTTGTATTCTCAATACAGTGTACAAAGTATAAACGTACCCGTTCTTGTGCTGATATTGTATTTGTATTCTCAATACAGCGTACGAAGTGTAAACGTACCCGTTCTTGTGCTGACATTGTATTTGTATTCTCAATACAGTGTATTAAGTATAAACGTACCAGTTCTTGTGCTGACATTCACATTGTATTTGTATTCTCAATACAGCGTACAAAGTACAAATGTACCCGTTCTTGTGCTGACATTGTATTTGTATTCTCAATACAACTTACAAAGTATAAACGTACCCGTTCTTGTGCTGACATTGTATTTGTATTCTCAATACAGTGTATTAAGTATAAACGTACCAGTTCTTGTGCTGACATTCACATTGTATTTGTATTCTCAATACAGCGTACAAAGTATAAACGTACCCGTTCTTGTGCTGACATTGTATTTGTATTCTCAATACAACTTACAAAGTATAAACGTACCCGTTCTTGTGCTGACATTGTATTTGTATTCTCAATACAGCGTACAAAGTATAAACGTACCCGTTCTTGTGCTGACATTGTATTTGTATTCTCAATACAACTTACAAAGTATAAACGTACTCGTTATTGTGCTGACATTGTATTTGTATTCTCAATACAGCGTAAAAAGTATAAACGTACCCGTTCTTGTGCTGACATTGTATTTGTATTCTCAATACAACTTACAAAGTATAAACGTACTCGTTATTGTGCTGACATTGTATTTGTATTCTCAATACAGCGTACAAAGTATAAAAGTACTCGTTCTTGTGCTGACATTGTATTTGTATTCTCAATACAGCGTACAAAGTATAAAAGTACTCGTTCTTGTGCTGACATTGTATTTGTATTCTCAATACAGCGTACGAAGTATAAACGTACCTGTTTAAAAAGGAGCCGGAACTTGTTTAACTTCCAGGACACGTGACAAAGTGGCCTGTACTAGTTGTTTCTCAAGTGAATTAAAGTTATCAAATAAGTTATTGAATCATTTAGTACTCCAGTAGCAGGGTGTGATTGACTTAGTATCTACATCTTAAAGCGAAGATTTTGATTTTCAGGGCATCCTATTACACATTTACAGTGAGCCAAGCAATTGGTGAGAAATCAAGGATGTACATTTGCTAACAGGCAATTGACCACTTGACCAAGTAGTTTAAGTGACTCCGAAAACAGTCCTGGATATAATATTTTTCTGACCAACTTATTTTGGACATTTATGTCTTGGAACTTATAGGGACCATTTTAAGTCCCGAACAATTGCCTAACTAACGGTTGATTGAAGTTTCACTGTAGTTTTTGGATAGGGATTAAAAACAAGTTGTGGACTAAAATAAATGTAGAAATATAGAAATATAAATCATTTTGATTTCCAACATTTTCTGATCTCTCGTTTATACGCAGAATGGTGACTGTTTTTCAGGAACTTACAGTTAATATTATACGAGTTTCTGCTAGTGACTATAACTAATACTATTATTAGAAAAGATTCTGCTTTTCTTATCATCTAGCTAGGTTGTTGATGATATTGTTCTCTTTTTGTCGAATGATAGTATTTAAAAAAAATAAAAACCATGGTTTAAAAATGTACTCATTTATGATATACATATTTAAACAAATTTTTAAACATTATAGACAGCATTAACATTTTGGAATTATCCTGCTCGTTCCTTGCTTTATCAAACGGTTCATAATTTGTACACTCATCTCAATTGAACCGCATGTAAATATAAAAACAATTATACTGACTAACTCTCCATTAAATTTAATCATGTCTCTTTCGCCTGAAGACGCATCCTAATTTAACATTTAATCGGAAAATTAAACTTTCTATAAAAATGTAAATCACACTTCCTTAAGAGCTCAGATGTGAAAATAATCGAAAAAGTAGTTAATTTCAACCATCTAAGCATCTAGTAACTTACTTTATGTCACTTTCTTACTTTAGTAGATTGTGATATGATTTTTATTACCTCATCGACCTTAATTTGTCTGTCTCTAATTTAGCAGAAATTCGGCCGCTAATGCTATGGCCATACTTAGTGCCTTAAAGACTTATTGGTTGACCAAATTTATCTGGAAAAATTCCAGCAAATCGGAATTTTTATTGATACGGATACCATAACATTAGTATAGTTATTGGTTACACTCTGCTACTAGATTAGTAGAGTGGTTTGGAATTTATTTTATTATGACCTTATATATAGCAATCAATTGACAATGGTCAATTATTCTGTGCTTGATCAGGAAACCTATGAAAGTTGTTTCTTTTTTCTTTCCTTTCTTCAAAAATCCAGCTTGTCACCTTACTTAGGGCCAGATTAAATAGGGTCGGTAAATTAGGCCTCAACAATTATTCACATTCTATCCCGATTAGCTCGATTTGTTAAATGAGCAAAATAATAATTAAAAAAGGTTTTTTAGTTTAACCACAGCAATCTGAATACTTTATATTATTCTAGGAACTGCACGTATTATTAATAATATTAATAATATTAGTAATATTAGTAATATTAGTAATATTAGTAATATTAGTAATATTAGTAATATTAGTAATATTAGTAATATTAGTAATATTAGTAATATTAGTAATATTAGTAATATTAGTAATATTAGTAATATTAGTAATATTAGTAATATTAGTAATATTACTACTCGTAATAAACCCCGTATACAGTGCCCACTGCAAACAAGTGTTCGTTGTTGTAGTGGTATGTTGCAAACCGGTCGCACTGAGGGTACCACAGGCACCTGAAACAAGTGAACAAGTAAAACCCTCGTAAAGGGAGTGTCTCTAACAATGATAAAATTAATCGATGGTACATATTATATAAGTATATATGTAATTAATACATTTTAATAGTTCCAAACCTAGAAGCGCATCTGACTCCTTGCCCTTCCATGGATCCAATTAGCACCATTACTACTATTTTAAATCTGAAACAATATTAATTTTTTAAATATGAAACAATATTACTATTTTAAATACAAATATGAAACAACAATACACGCCTTTTCGGTAACTGTTATGCGCTGTTGTCCATTCTACCTAAGACATTGAACTCTTTTCTTCTTTTGTAAAGTTTCAGATTAAAATCTGTTTTGAATTTTCAAGTTGTTAACTTTTAAATTGCTTTCATTAGTCTAACCTGATTTTATTTTTATAGGCTAGTGATGTAAATCTACGAAGAATTCACCTATATTTGTGCTGTCTTACTATGTGTCCAAACCAAAATGAATATGAAACAATACTACTATTTTAGCATTTACTGTTTAGATCTTGTAAAATTAAAACAAGAATTTCGCTGCGGTTATAGTTATACCACGCACGATCAATTTTTTATTGTACCAGAAATCTCTATTATAATTCGAAGGTGTCTGTCTGTTTGTCTGTCCGCCCACGTGCAAATTAGATGAGAAATAGGAAGTTGCATAGTAATGAGGTTGTTATGCGCACGTGTACGTGCAATAATTGTTGCAACGGCATTTTTATCGGTTTTGTGGTATTTACGTTGTGTTACTGTTTAGAGTGATTTACATTTAAATCGATTGTATCATTGGGATACCTTTTTTTGATGCGATAAAAACTGACTTATCAAAATATACTATTCACAGCACATGGTATACGAATATTTCTACTATAATTCAGAAAATTATTTATGCTGTATAATGTCTGTACGACCGCCCACGTGCAAATTAGGTTAAAAACAAAAGGTTGCATAGTAACCATGGTAACGAGGGTTGTTACACGCACGTGCAATTATTTTAAAGTGTTTTACATTTAAATCGGCTGTATTTTTGGTTGGGGTGGATATTTTTGTATGCGCTTAAAACTTTATTTCAAAGAATACTACTATAGCTTCCTCCCTGTTACCACGGGCTTTCTAGTACCATATCTATATTATAATTCAAAGAATTATCTTTGTACAATGTACACTGTACACTGTACGACCGCCCACGTGCAAATTAGGCAAAAAGCAAAAGGTTGCAAAGTAACCATGGTAACGAGGGTTGTTACACGCACGTGCACGTGCAAAGATTGTTAAAACGGCATTTTTATCGGTTTTGTTGATATTACGTTGTGTTTAGTGCGAGCAACATTTTAATCGGCTGTATCTTCGGTGGAGATGAATACTTTTTGACACGATTAAAACTGACTGCCAAAGAATACTATTAGAGTATTAGATTCCTCCCTGGGACCCCGGACCATGGGTTTTCTAGTACTCATATAAAGTAGTGTTACTATGGTAACACAGCACATTGTTTACCTATTTTGTTTGCCGAGTTCTTGCTTTACTTGAGTCCTGATAAGTTCTGATAGGTTTGTTGTCAGATTCCTCGAGCTGTCGGAGATGTACTTCTTGTCCCTCAAGTTGGAATTGAATATCGCCTGTATCAACTTGAGGTAAGTTTTGTTTTGGTTATGCCATATTAAGCCCAAAAAATTTGGTCTTTATTTCCCATGCTACCCAGTTTAGGAAAAGTACAAATTAGGTGAAGCTGTCCGGTAGCCCATAGCAATGATTTGCTATGATCACTAATTCGGGGAATATATCAAATCAAAAAATATGCATGTTCATTTTTTTCGAATGAAGGTTCATTTTCGCATTTATTTGATGGTTTGAATAATCGGATCGAGTCAACTTGTATTGAATTGTGTTTGGCCATTCAAGTTGCATTGGACCTGAAAAATTAAAGTTCTAGCTTCTCAGATGACCGAGATATGAAGCATACGTGTGATCAGGTGATTGGGTTGACACTAGATCGGCATTATGGGAATCCCGGAATCGTGCAGAGAACCCAATTTTGGTGTCATAGCACGCTATCACATGATTATTGATTAGATGATCATTGATTACCCAGTTAATCTTGTTATCGAGACAAACAAACTGAATAAATTTGTCATTTTAAATCCGGTTCGCACCATATTTTCAGATCATATTCCGGATTTGATGTAATTGCAATATTGTCACCTCCCAAGTAAAAGGGTAAAAGTCAAGATACACCCTTTTTTGGAGTCTTAGTACCAATGGTCAACTATTCCCAAAAGATGGGAATCATCTTCTAGCAGTCTAGCACACAATTATGATTTATAGTGAAAAGCATACATATATCCTTTTAATTATCATTAATTGTTCGATAAATTAACCAATCATTAATAAATAAAAGAGTATATGTTGACATATACCCCATATTATAATACAAATAACTTGAAAAATTTAGTTCAAAGGGTATATTATGTTCATCCCCACTTTTAAGACTCACAAAGAGGTGTAACTGAAAATTAATACTTTGTCTAATTCTTCACCCGGGACACTTGCCTATGCAGCAGGAACTTGTTTACCAGTCCTTTAGTTGTAAACAACAAGCAGTTTTTATTGATTATCTCAAAATGGAATTTTAGAGATATACCCTTTTACTTGGGAGGTGACGATATGTTACAATGGATTTTCTAACATGTTCACAAACAGTAGTATAAGCAATGTTGATTAGGTGTGGCTTCTGAAAATCGAATTTTTGAATTTTGGCGAATGATTAGTTAGGTAACACTTTAACAGAGTAACAATGTACCATCTGTAAGGTTACAGGTCTAAATTATGAAACACGGCGGTGGTAAAAGACCCAACGTATGTAAATTGACTTTTGGCCACCCCCCCTGTATAATGTATATGTTACACTGTTAACACTAAACATAGTATTCTTTCGAACCTATGAAGAGTGTAATTTCACACTGCATAAAACGCGAGACGGGAAGTCGGGCTTGAGTACAAAATTTCAAAATTAAATCATAATTATAATGTTACCTTGATGACATCCTCTGCTTTTTTGGTTGGGAATTTCTGATTATCTTTAGGCTCGAGTTGGAATGTATTTTCATAAAGGACGGCTGGCCCTTTAGGACCATCCTGAAATACAATGTCAAAATCATTATAGAACTACTAACTGTCACGTGACTGATGCTGATTCATTAGAAATACTAACTGTCACGTGACTGAAGCTGATTCATTAGAAATACTAACTGTCACGTGACTGAAGCTGATTCATTAGAAATACTAACTGTCACGTGACTGAAGCTGATTCATTAGAAATACTAACTGTCACGTGACTGAAGCTGGTTCATTAGAAATACTAACTGTCACGTGACTGAAGCTGATTCATTAGAAATACTAACTGTCACGTGACTGAAGCTGATTCATTAGAAATACTAACTATCACGTGACTGAAGCTGATTCATTAGAAATACTAACTGTCACGTGACTGAAGCTGATTCATTAGAAATACTAACTGTCACGTGACTGAAGCTGATTCATTAGAAATACTAACTGTCACGTGACTGAAGCTGATTCATTAGAAATACTAACTATCACGTGACTGAAGCTGATTCATTAGAAATACTAACTGTCACGTGACTGAAGCTGATTCATTAGAAATACTAACTGTCACGTGACTGAAGCTGATTCATTAGAAATACTAACTATCACGTGACTGAAGCTGATTCATTAGAAATACTAACTGTCACGTGACTGAAGCTGATTCATTAGAAATACTTACTGTCACGTGACTGATGCTGATTCATTAGAAATACTAACTGTCACGTGACTGATGCTGATTCATTAGAAATACCAAGGATGGTAAATGCGTTTTGGGGAGACTACGCGTAGGTACTACGCATACGTATTTCCCGATGATAAATTACGTATTTCAAATTAAGTTGCAGTAACGCGCGAACATCTATATATAAATATTACATTACAGTATATGGAATCGTGGCCTAATTGGTTAATACGCTAGCTCCATATCAGCAGATTGCGAGTTCGAGACTCGGATAGGATAATTTTTCCCCATACTTTTTGGCAATTATGAATAACTAATGAATAACTAAAAATACCTCTGTAATATAACTAGCAAGGTGAAATGAAATCGTCATCCGGCCGAAAAATTTATTATAGCCGTTTTAAAAGTTTATTATAGCCGTTTTTTCTTTCCAGGCTGGATTCCTAGTCACTTTTTAAACTTATGCCACTGGGAAGTCTGTGTTAATCCGGTAACCGGTTTCAAAATTCAAGCAAGAGAGACTTGTGATCTTAGTCTGCGAATATTGTAATAGATAAAAATGCACTGGAACTGGGTCTCGGTTGAAAGTCTATTCCTCGAGGGAGGCATAACTGCTTTATAACCTGAGAAGCTCTGCTCTGCAGCAGACCGACTGATTGGTTGCAGTTCAGCATAAGAATAGCAAGTCGCTGCAGCGTTTTCATTCGAGCACCGTGAAGTCTCCAAAACGACTGTCAGTATTGCTATATTAATATACCACTGGGCCAGCGACGCACGCGCAAATATCACTAATCTGTAATCACGTATTTCGAAAGAGATACGCGCGTATTTTGAGAAATTTTACCATCAAAGAATTTAAGCGCCAAATTTTGCCGTATTTCACGTATTTCTTAGAATTTTTGAATACGGCGTATTTACAGGCGATTTTTTGACGTATTTACCATCGATGAGAAATACTAACTGTCACGTGACTGAAGCTGATTCATTAGAAATACTAACTGTCACGTGACTGAAGCTGATTCATTAGAAATACTAACTGTCACGTGACTGAAGCTGATTCATTAGAAATACTAACTGTCACGTGACTGAAGCTGATTCATTAGAAATACTAACTGTCACGTGACTGAAGCTGATTCATTAGAAATACTAACTGTCACGTGACTGAAGCTGATTCATTAGAAATACTAACTGTCACGTGACTGAAGCTGATTCATTAGAAATACTAACTATCACGTGACTGAAGCTGATTCATTAGAAATACTAACTGTCACGTGACTGAAGCTGATTCATTAGAAATACTAACTGTCACGTGACTGAAGCTGATTCATTAGAACTACTAACTGTCACGTGACTGAAGCTGATTCATTAGAACTACTAACTGTCACGTGACTGAAGCTGATTCATTAGAAATACTAACTATCACGTGACTGAAGCTGATTCATTAGAAATACTAACTGTCACGTGACTGAAGCTGATTCATTAGAAATACTAACTGTCACGTGACTGAAGCTGATTCATTAGAACTACTAACTGTCACGTGACTGAAGCTGATTCATTAGAACTACTAACTGTCACGTGACTGAATACTAACGTCTACTTCACTGTCGCTGTGGAAACTGCCCCCCCTCGTGGACATTGAACTCTTTCTCGTGGTCTGCAAGTTTAGAGACACTCTGTTGATGGCATCCTGCCACCGTTTCTGAAACATTAGTGCTCTTTTACGTTTTTATATTTTTTTGTTAGTATACCTAGTTTGTTATAGTTTGTCTTACTTTATTTATATTTCTGCAAGGGCGGAAAATGAAATCATGTAGACCAAAATTTTTAATAATTTCAGTGAAATGACCATGACCACTCGAGTCCATGGCAACCCAAGTCCATGGCAACCCGTCGGAACAACAGATATTTTACCTGACCAAGCCCGCCAAATTTTTTTCGCATCATCCTAAAAGTAGTGTAGTCAGCAGCTTGTCCTTCGAACAGGACCGAACAAGAATAACAACAACAAAAATACCACAACCTAAAGAGTCTACAAGCGCTCAGTATTATAATATAGTATTAATATATACGCACTACTATAATATCATGTCTCTATATGATGGCTACAATTATGGACCATCGCCACAGCAATATTATGTGTTAAATGTTAAAATAGACAGGAGAGTGGTTGAGATTACGAGTTGAACCAGTAACTGTACATGCTATGCTTGCAAAGACAAAGCACTATAAACTACATATCATGCTGGCGGAGAGGATTGGATACTAATTGAAGTGTCACTACTGTCTACCGCTCTTTCACATCACTCATGTACATGTGCATGATTACTTGCTGCTTAGGGCGGGTGTGCGCTTCTTCACATTAGATTGATGACGCCCCCTTAATTATTAAGAAGAAGTTGCATTGAGTTAAAAGACATGCACAATTTGCACATTGCGCAAATATTACTTCATCATATTATATCATAGAGCCAGTCATCACATTTTGCCTATGAACGTTATTTGTAATGCAAAAGATGTTCTGAGGCTCATTTCGTTGATTATTTCAACCTCAATAAAAATATGTTGATGATTTGGGTCCACTTACCAGTGGATTGTTTCTGGAAACAAAAACTCGTCTTAAAAGTGAGGATCTCTTTATTAACATGACTGATTTGTATTGAAACAAGCTTGTGAAAGAGATAAAGTAAAACTGATGACTGGAGAAATGAAATAAACGAACTAAAGAGGGTTACCATGGTTACTGGGGGTTCGCTCTGATAAACAATGTTAGTAATAATTTGTTTACCTCGGAGAAAGCGCGTTGCCAAGCAACAATCAGTCAGAGCGGGAGGTTACTACACTCTGCTACTCTATTTGAGGTTCGCTAACCTAGTCTCACTCTTGGAATTTATTTTTCCAAGTAACCAATGAATTAATTCTAAATTTTGTTGATTTCAAGAAAATTATCATTTTAGTCCTACCAGGCTCTCTAAATTGTGTTAAAATGAAAATCGTGTAATGTTACTGTTAGTGTTATCTTTGGAGCTATGTTTATTTTGTTGTTGATATGTGATATAATATTAATAACTAAGGTCAGATTGGTTTAACTTTAATGTTTTTGTGAACTGTATCATTATTTAACTTTGAACAAACAAACAAACAAACATATAATAGCACTTATAATAGTTACCATGGTTACTTGGGTACAATAGCAGTTACAGTTACAAGGCGTAACTACTAACCCTTAATTTGCAATTACACTGCTAATAGCACCTACTTAAAAGGACTTAATAATTTAGAGGGAGCTCGACTTAGCATGTTCTTGTTTGACGCCAGCAGTGTAGTAAGTGGTAACATGTTAGCTGGGGGGGGGGGGGGGGGGGGCGGGGGGCTCTCTAACGCTTTGGTTACTATACTGGTAAATTAACGGCCTGGTAAGTTAGCTAGGGGGGTTGGGGGGGGGGGGGGAAAGGGGGCTCGTTATATTTTATATCTCGGTCATCCGAGAAGCTAGAACTCTAATTTTTCAGGTCAAGTGTAATTTGAATGGCCAAAAACAATTCAATACAATTTGGCTCGATCCGATTATTCAAACCATCAAATAAATGTGAAAATTAACCTTCATTCGAAAAAAATTAGCATATGCAAATTGTTTGATTTAATATATTCCTCGAATGTTCAATGTAATATGTATGTAAACTGACTTTTGACCCCCCCCCCCTGTATAGTGTATAGTGTACCTTAATTCCCAAAAATTTGGGCGACCAAAAATTTGAGCGGGCCTCTCGCCCAAATTTTTTGCAGACCAAATTAATTGCATAAATCTTTTCCGTCTGCTAAATTTTTTGCTAACCAAACTTTTGGCATTTGGCCTGTGGCCCTGAAATCTATAGAAAGATGGCTTTTTCTTCATATATAATCCAAGTGAAATAATATTTGAAATTTTAGTTTTCTAATCTGTCATTCATGGCTTGACCAAGTAAAAAGGCTTATGAGTATTGCTGAAAGCACAGTGTAAGGCCTACACGGACCGCCTCTAACTAGCCAATCCCTGTTTACATGCCGTGTAGCAGGGGACTAGAAAGAGCTAAACTAGTAAGCGGGGCATAGCCAATACACTATACTCCCATCATTGAGTATATTACCAACCAGAAGGAAAATTTCCTTGTGTTTGGAATCTACCAAGACGAAAGTTGTACAATCCAGCGAAATTCCATTTATAATTTAAATGAATAGAAATAACTGGAATTAGACTTCAAGACCTTTGGTCCGGGTTTACAGTAGTTCGCTACACACAATTATGTACACCTTTGTTTCCCCCAAAGCTAAGCGTATGTGCCGCTTAGTTTGATAGATCATGATGTAAACCTTCTAATTTTCTTCCAAACCTTTCGACCATCTGGTGAGGCGTCATAATGAAAATTGTATGTGAAAATTGTATGATAAGATATGCTGAGTGTAAGTAGACTAAACTATCTGATTGAGAGACTAAATATCACTATTGTATGTATATCTATCATTTTGTACTTTTTTTTTCTTTTTTTTTTTAGAGAGGCTGGGCCTGGTTGGCCCACGAGAGGATAGCATATGAATGCTTTGCCTACCTCTGGGGTATGGCAGTCCTGTGGGAGGATGCCAGTGGAATCAAGATGTGTAATCAAGGATGATGGAAAGTGTTGTGGGGTGTGTCATAGATAAACGCTTAAGTGGTGGTTGAGTGTGGAAGAGAGAGGCGAAATAAGACGGCGTTAAAGTAGTCGCTATGTTACACCTGTCTGGTCCAACTCCTCTGGCACCACTAAGCGTTTAGTGTGGTTTGTAAAGTTGACAATGGTGGAGATTTGTTGGTTGTCGAATATGTCATTGACAGAGAGGTAGTAGTCCCGGAAATATTGACCTCTTATTTGGGCAATAGCCGGGCACTGTCCGAGAAAGTGTGAGACAGTCTCCTCTTCGTCGCCGCATTTAGGACAAGCACTTGTGTCTGATTTGCGAATGGTGTGTAGGTGTTTGTTGAGGCCACAATGTCCCGTGATGAGGTGCACTGCAGTTCTATAATTTTGTCTGTTGTTACTGAGTGTAGTGTTGAGATTTTTGATGATGTTGATGTTTTTATGTCCAAGTGTCAGTTTAGTGTGTCTGGGACCATCAGTAATCCATGATTCTTGATTAAGTTTTGTGACTTTGTCGTTGATCAGGCGTTTGATGTAAGATTGTGGAATTGGGCAATTCAAAGTGGATTCACTGGTTGTACCATTTTTGGCCAGCTCGTCTGCTTTTTCATTACCCCACAATCCAATGTGTGCAGCTATCCATCTGATCTCTAAGGTGTTAGTGGATCCGAGTGTATTGAGGGTGTCGTAACAGTCTCTAGTAGTCCTACTCCTCGTTGAAGGTGAGGATATGGCTTGAATAGAGGAGAGACTGTCTGACCATATGATGATGTGTGTGTTTGTATAAGTTGATAGATATTTACAAGCTTCGATGATGGCAGTGAGTTCTGTTTGATAAACGGTGCAATAATCGGGAAGCTTGAATGATCTTTCATCTAGTGTAGTGTTGTTGTTGTCTGTGGTGATAATATAACCAGCCCCGCTACCTGAGTCTGTGCGTGACCCGTCTGTGTAGCAGGTGATGGTTTCACTGGGGATGTTGTCGATGGTGTTTTGGAGTGAGCCTCTATAACCAATGTTGTCAGCTCCAGGAGTGGTGACCGTGAAGCGTCGTTCAAGCATCATGGTTGGTATAGATAGGTCTCTCATCATTTTGTACTGTGCCATCATCACTGTATTTTTTAGTAGTTACTGGGCAGATCGTAAATTTCATAATGGGAAACAACTCAGACTACCACCTACATGCTTAAAATTGAAAGCAAAATGACTGGAATAATAAGGAATAATAATGAACTAAGGCAAATATCTAACTGAAATTTTAGTGGAAAATCGTTCATTTTTCGAAGAATTTGTGCCCAAATTTTCGGTCGCCCAAATGAGTTCAAATTTTCTGCCCAAATTTTTCGGGCTCAAATAAATTGTGCTCAATATAATGGCACACAAATTTTTGGGAACTAAGGTATATATTTTGTAGCTGAACTTCTACACAGTGATTGAGTGATAACTTGATAAGCTGTGTTGACTAAATCCTCGTTATTCTTTGCATCATTGTACATATTATAATCTCAATAAATTTCTATAATTAATGTAGCTGTGAAAGTAGCTCAAAAAAAAACTATATGTATATAGGCTAGGGACTTAATTATGTCCTCATATGAGCATATTCAAATTTCAATAGTCCAGTACTCCAGTTTTGAGTTATCAGTAGGTGCCCGTCAAGCGACAACGATAAAATATTTTGTGATTTTGACACCACCTCGGTGTCCAGTTTTCAAAAGGGCATAAAAGCTCATAGTAAAGTCGTGTTAAAGTTGATTTCGTGGTTTCAGTAAAATGGTAACAGATATACCTAGCTGCTATATAATCTTACTATATATAGTAAGACTTACTTATATATAAGTATATACTTATATATAAAGCGAAACGATATATAGTATAGATAGTAAAATTACTCACCATATGTCCTAATCCCGTAAATCCGACACTTTTCTTAATACTAGAGCTAGTCGACTCTCCTGAGTTTATGCGACTCATCATCAAAAATATTACAGGGTGGGCTAATAGTAGCTTTACAGGGTGGGCCAATAGTAGCTTTACGGGGTGGTTTGAGATTAATATGCGTAATACAATGACAAAATTTAAATATTGTCTGCGACAAAAGAAAAGTAATGGACTTAAAATCTCATCTTGTCCTTTAAGTTTATCAATATTCAATAAACACGTATTCAATAAATCAAACTATAGCTGGCTCTTATTTCCAACCTTACAGCTTTTGAACATTAGAGGCTTGTAAAAGAAATAAAAAAGCTGAACATAAAACTCTCAAAAAGTGTACTTATAAAAGAAGTGATAATAAATATAGCAGCAAAACTGAAAAGTGCCGAAGCATCTGCCTCATCTTCTTGCTAAAGCAATCAATACGAAACACTGAGGGAGCGTGGTATTGTCACTAGTATATATACTATATTATATAGAGCGTAGTATTTAATATACTCCCAATATGCTCTAACAGACCCACCAGCTGATAAAATAAACGCTCAAGTGCAGTTACCTTTACAACCTACCTATGTGACCTACAAGGTGGCTCGTACATCGCCGCCCCCCTCTGAGAATATATTTATTTTTCTGTTTTAATCACAATGTGATATATATAATGAGTTAGCAGGGTACCTAGCATGTATAACCAGAGAACTGCGGTTACTTACTCAAACAGCTCGGCGTGCGGATCTGTGACTGTGAACGTTGGAGTAAACAACGACACCACCCAACAGTAGGAGTAAAAACAAAAACCTCCAGAGAGTTACCCTGGTTACTTCACTCTGTCTCCTGCTTCCTCCAGAGAGTTGCCCTGGTTACTTCACTCTGTCTCCTGCTTCCTCCAGAGAGTTGCCCTGGTTACTTCACTCTGTCTCCTGCTTCCTCCAGAGAGTTGCCCTGGTTACTTCACTCTGTCTCCTGTTTCCTCCAGAGAGTTGCCCTGGTTACTTCACTCTGTCTCCTGCTTCCTCCAGAGAGTTGCCATGGTTACCTCACTCATCCAATGTGGACACACACATGCCAGCTAAATAAGTCTTTGTAAGCAAAGACTCTGAATTCCAGATCCTTGCCCTCCCAAAAAGAGGGATAGACCGGGTATAGAGCGGCACCCCCCTCATTAGGGGCACCACCCCAGGAAGGGCAGCAGTACTATAAGAGCATAAGTATTAAGCATACAGGCCTCTCACCCCATTTATTTAATTGTCTCACCTGATCCCTCTGATCCGCAAAGCTCATCATTCTGGACGTTCGCCGGGACTGAGCGTAGTTTTCTGAAACCCCACTGGTGGAGGCCACACTCCCCTTCCTCGATCCGAGCACACTCATTCTCCGAGGAGCAACTAAGCTCATTCTGCGTGAGACGGCGCTTTCTCGCCTTACTGTTTCATTCATGTTGTCCTGGTGTCTTGGTAATACTGATAGTCAAATATTAATAAGTGAACACTGATCAATGTTTAAACTTTCGGATACAAAAAGTAAAAGCAAGCCGAAGACGATTAACACATGTATTTTGAAAGCTCCTGTTAAAACAAACTTTTCGTATCTCTTATATGTTTTAAAACAAATCCCCCTCCAAGTAAAAGCAAGGTTCATATTTGAGACAAAAGAAAAGCGCCTTCCAGCGCCCTCCAGCGGCCTTTAGCGCCCTGTAGCGCCCACAAAATGTCTTATCAAAAGATTGCAATGAGGTGTGATAACCTCGAAGAAAACTGCAAACAATAACAGTTCCTAAAGGCGATGTTTAACGATTCGGTGATCACCTTAACAGTTAGTGTTGGTAGTTACATCGTTATCGTCATGGTAACGCTAATGATTTATACTGATAGACAACACCACGTGGTGTCAAGTCTCTTGGTAATCGATCTGTAATTAACTAGCCTCAAATTCGTTAACAATTAGATGAGCATATTCGATCAAGTAACTAGTGTAATGAAGCATAGAGTTGTGAAACTATTAAACTTTATATTCTTTGAACAAGTCAGGAAAAAAGTTCGATTGGGGAAAAAAAACCATTCAGGTTTTTCATATCAGGGTACCTATAAATCATTAAGTATAACTATAAGCTCTAACTTTAAGACTTTGCAACAAAATTGCGACAGAATATATTAACTATATTATTAAATAATATATTTAATATATTAACTATAATATTACTTAGTAATATAGTTAATATTACTTAGTGATAAAAGTAATATAGTTAATATTAATTCATTTTAAAATCTTTAAGACGTTCTCGTGCAATAGTACGTTTAAATGAGTGTATGGTATTTTCAGTTTTAAAGATATCAAAGTCACCACGATGAAGGACAACTTGCTTTATGATTTGCTGGCAGACTAAAGAAAAAATTAAACATTTTTATGAATTTAATTAGATAAGAAATATTGTTGCGTGCAATAAATGCTCGGGTCGATTGTTAAGTGTTTGTCATCGAAGGTTATGAAGGTTCCACCAGAGCACCAGTAGACATAAGCATCGAAAGCAGGGCTTTGGCTCGACTTCCGAGGCGGGGTGTCCGTGAGGACCCTGGTCGTAATCAGCTGATCTGCACTGTTTTAGTGTATCCTGATACTTGAAATCTCGGAAACTGCCTACGTACGGGGTAGACAGCCACGGATGATTTTGTTTGTGAGGTTTTCATCACTTCCTGAATCCTGACATGAGCCAGACCTTAGCTGGATCCTTCCCATCCCTTTTTCTTTACTTCCCGTCACGTTCAGTCTACATCTTCAGTTTTCATTATCAGTTAGAGCTGCCTTGCTCTCGAACAGTTCATCACGGTACCTTATTTGGAGGCCTCCTGCGGGGTAACACCGGATCTCAGGACTCAGACACTGCAGCTAGTGGCTAACTTACCGCACACGGCTTAGTTTCTGTGTCTTTTCCGTGTGTGCCGTTTTGTGCCGCCGGCCTCTTTGCTGTTCTCGCGTTTGTATTGTGCTCACCCACTCCTCAGTTGTATCACGTCGTGACCCCCATTGTCGTTTCACTAAGTGGTAGTATCGTGGCCACGATACAGCCGCGCAGTCGTGCGGGGCAGGTCTACAACGTATGACAACTCCTCAGTTTGCTGTTCATTTGACAGAGTTACTGAAACTACAAAGTTCTCACTCACCATCACAGCCCAATCAAAATTATGCAATCAAAATCACTATACACCCACGATCATATGATCAAAACACAAAGTTTTGAAATATACTTTTTCTGTTTGAGATTTGAATAAGGATGATAATTAATCACTCTACACTCGACTGTCACGTGACTTTTTCAACCCGTTCTCTAGCTGGTCCTGAACGACTATTCGAAACCCTAACCCTCTTATCTGATCCCAACCCTAACCCTAACCCAATCCTTAACAAAAGCAGATGCTGAAACCCTAACCCTAACGAGAAATTAGACTAACTTCCTTATACGGTCATATCACGTGATCGAGACAGTTTTTCGCCTATATCTCGTCAGGGGAGCATTTTAACCTTAAGTCATGGGGGTGATTCGGAATCAGCGTCCGAAAATACATCGATTGAAGTTGGTTTCAACTGTCGGGGGCCCTTTTAAAGCAATCTCGAAGATCGACTGTAGAGTGATTTAGTACGCTTGTTTGAATAACGTTACTGTAATGTTCCAAATTATATTTCAAACTATTCTGTTTTATAAAAATCATGAAATATCAGGGGCGATATATATGTCTGTGAATACTTACAATCTGTACCAGCAGTTAGTTAGAAGAGATAAATGGGATGTCCAATGGCAATACATGTAATTCGTAGAATGTAAGTTAATTTTTGTGAAAAGGCGATAAAATTAAGTGAGGTCGCAAAATTATTTGCTCGAACAGTGATTTAGAAAAAAAGATAATTTATTTAGAAATTCATGGCATTTTATTTGCCCTTTAAGCGGATAGATATTTTTATCCGCGTCCATATTTAAAGATAATTAAAAATCAAAATCTTCGTGCAAGAATAGTCTCAATATTGAGGTTCTGTATTGAAAAAAGAAAATTTAATTCATACATTTATAAGAAACTTATCGACTAATAAATTCGATAGAAATAGCAATAGCAATACATCTGTTTAAACGATTCTATTAAGTTTAACTGCAGGGAAGAAAATCTTTAAAATTTTTATAAAACTTGAAGCAAATTAATAGAATGACTTATGTTAATAACATTGTAACATTGTTACTATTACACAGCGATAAAGACAGAAGATGATTACATTACAATGATTGTAATGGGACGAGTTGGAGTGGGGCGACATGTTGAAGTCACAGGATTCGTTTATTTGAGGATTGTTAGAAGGAGAGTCTTGAAGTCCCCACTCGTGTCTTCCTGCAAAGTAATCACAATCATTCCCAAAAAATTGATAAGTCATTCCGGACTGTCGCCGTACCCATACGCAAAATGATACTGAGAATGAAACCGGCCTGCAGACTACCACAAGCTCAGTTAGTGCAGCAGTGAAGTGACTCTATTCTTGGTATCATTTTGCAAATGGGTACGGTAACTTAACTTGATATCATTTCCTTTTGTTTGAAAAAAGGAGACACTGGCGATTCATGTCCACTTTACCTAATTTAGGGCTTTGGTTAAAACTATTACTTCCTTTTGGTTGATGTAAGGGTCCTTTACAAAGTTAAATTGTAAAAGTAAAACTGAGAACTCCATTGAGCTGAATCGTGAAGTAATTTCAACGATCTCAAAATTATATCTTTTAAAACATTTACTTGTATTTGAATCAGCATATTTCTTGATATCTGACTGAATATAGCACTTTATATCCATTCAAGTTGCAGTATTATATTGATATATGTAATTTAATTTTAACAGTTTTGGGAAAGCATGATCTAATCGATTTTCAACTTTTAAACCAGCATATGTGTCAATATATACCTATAAAAAGCTTGTATCACATCGTGACCCCCACGGTCGTTTTACTATAATAGAGTTTCAACGATACAGGGGGAGCCGCGCACTATAGTAGAGGCTCTTACGGGCATTGTCTGCTCGATACGTTAGGGACCCCAGATACACCTTACTAGACGTATTTTTGACCGTAGAATCGATTGAAAGTGGTTTCAAGATGATTGGACTGATTGTTCTGGGGTAAAATCGCAAAAAACCGATTTTTGGGCCAAAAATAGGCCAAAAAACCATGTTTTTTGATATTTTGAGCAAGTTAATTTTGTTGGCATGTCGGCAAAACTTGCATAAAGATAGCTAAAAGACAGCCGCACAAGATTGTATAAAAATAAAACAAATCCCTCTATTTGTTCTGAGGTAAAAATCCAAAAAAGTGGTAAAAATTTTGACTTTTTTGCTTGAAGTTTGAATAATTTTTTGCAGTTGTATTAAATCAACCCAAAAATAGTCACATCGTGTTTGCCTAAATTTTTCCTTTCCGAGAAGTACCCACTTCATATACTTTATCGAAGTTTGAATATTGTCACTCCGCAAGCGTTTTTGCCAAATTTTCGACGCGCACTACGCGCAAAAGCATTTAGTTGTTATCAATTGGCACCCGCGCGTTCATCATAAATTTCAAACAGCTATAACTCAGCGAGATTATGTCCGTTCTAGCTCATATTTTCACACTAAATAGAAAATAATGTGATCTTATTGCTGACAAAATATGAATATAATTACTTTATTTGCCTTAGAGTAATAGACTGTCAAAGTTTAAAACGCGCATTGGTATAGCACGTGACTAATAAGGCCAAATTTATACTTCTTAACATATTATCGATCCTTAGACATCATACTATTGTGTCCAATTAGCGGTTAGGTCTCTAAACTCGTAGCAGAAAACACGTCTTTTTGCCCGTAAGAGCCTCTACTACTAGTGCGCGGCGGGTCATACAACGTATGACAATAAAAAGCAGAACTGAGCTCCAAAACCTAAGGGATGGCCCAACACCAGAAAATACTAAATCACAAAATTATTTTTTTTACAAAGTAACTAAAAAAAATTGACTTGAAGATCTGTAGTCCGAAATGACTGTAGGTATTTCGTATAACTATAAATCTGCGGACATTTGAATTCAGGCTACAACTGAGAGGCAAACCGTCCTGAATATATATTTAGTTTATGTATGTTTATACTTTTATCTTTTTACATATATTACCGATTACGTCTTACGACAATCTGTCGTAGAACAAAAAAAAAACTACTTCCCGATAGTCATGAAGCTGCAAAATTGCTTTTTTTGTGCACCTGAATATAGCGATTTTGGGTCTCGGAGAGGTTTGTTACTAACTTTAATGAAGTCTCGGAGAGGTTTGTTACCAACTTTAATGAAGTCTCGGAGAGGTTTGTTACTAACTTTAATGAAGTCTCGGAGAGGTTTGTTACTAACTTCAATGAAGTCTCGGAGAGGTTTGTTACTAACTTTAATGAAGTCTCGGAGAGGTTTGTTACTAACTTTAATGAAGTCTCGGAGAGAAGTCTCGGAGAGGTTTGTTACTAACTTTAATGAAGTCTCGGAGAGGTTTGTTACTAACTTCAATGAAGTCTCGGAGAGGTTTGTTACTAACTTTAATGAAGTCTCGGAGAGGTTTGTTACTAACTATAATGAAGTCTCGGAGAGGTTTGTTACTAACTTTAATGAAGTCTCGGAGAGGTTTGTTACTAACTTTAATGAAGTCTGGGAGAGGTTTGTTACTAACTTTAATGAAGTCTGGGAGAGGTTTGTTACTAACTTTAATGAAGTCTCGGAGAGGTTTGTTACTAACTTTAATGAAGTCTCGGAGAGGTTTGTTACTAACTTTAATGAAGTCTCGGAGAGGTTTGTTACTAACTTCAATGAAGTCTCGGAGAGGTTTGTTACTAACTTTAATGAAGTCTCGGAGAGGTTTGTTACTAACTTCAATGAAGTCTCGGAGAGGTTTGTTACTAACTTTAATGAAGTCTCGGAGAGGTTTGTTACTAACTTTAATGAAGTCTGGGAGAGGTTTGTTACTAACTATAATGAAGTCTCGGAGAGGTTTGTTACTAACTTTAATGAAGTCTGGGAGAGGTTTGTTACTAACTTTAATGAAGTCTCGGAGAGGTTTGTTACTAACTTTAATGAAGTCTCGGAGAGGTTTGTTACCTAACTTTAATGAAGTCTCGGAGAGGTTTGTTACTAACTTTAATGAAGTCTCGGAGAGGTTTGTTACTAACTTCAATGAAGTCTCGGAGAGGTTTGTTACTAACTTTAATGAAGTCTCGGAGAGGTTTGTTACTAACTTTAATGAAGTCTCGGAGAGGTTTGTTACTAACTTCAATGAAGTCTCGGAGAGGTTTGTTACTAACTTTAATGAAGTCTCGGAGAGGTTTGTTACTAACTTTAATGAAGTCTCGGAGAGGTTTGTTACTAACTTTAATGAAGTCTCGGAGAGGTTTGTTACTAACTTTAATGAAGTCTCGGAGAGGTTTGTTACTAACTTTAATGAAGTCTCGGAGAGGTTTGTTACTAACTTTAATGAAGTCTCGGAGAGGTTTGTTACTAACTTCAATGAAGTCTCGGAGAGGTTTGTTACTAACTTCAATGAAGTCTCGGAGAGGTTTGTTACTAACTTTAATGAAGTCTCGGAGAGGTTTGTTACTAACTTTAATGAAGTCTCGGAGAGGTTTGTTACTAACTTTAATGAAGTCTCGGAGAGGTTTGTTACTAACTTTAATGAAGTCTCGGAGAGGTTTGTTACTAACTTTAATGAAGTCTCGGAGAGGTTTGTTACTAACTTTAATGAAGTCTCGGAGAGGTTTGTTACTAACTTTAATGAAGTCTCGGAGAGGTTTGTTACTAACTTTAATGAAGTCTTGGAGAGGTTTGTTACTAACTTTAATGAAGTCTCGGAGAGGTTTGTTACTAACTTTAATGAAGTCTCGGAGAGGTTTGTTACTAACTTTAATGAAGTCTCGGAGAGGTTTGTTACTAACTTTAATGAAGTCTCGGAGAGGTTTGTTACTAACTATAATGAAGTCTCGGAGAGGTTTGTTACTAACTATAATGAAGTCTCGGAGAGGTTTGTTACTAACTATAATGAAGTCTCGGAGAGGTTTGTTACTAACTTTAATGAAGTCTCGGAGAGGTTTGTTACTAACTTTAATGAAGTCTCGGAGAGGTTTGTTACTAACTTTAATGAAGTCTCGGAGAGGTTTGTTACTAACTTTAATGAAGTCTCGGAGAGGTTTGGCGTACAAACTTTCAAATGCTCCCTTTATCTCCACCAGGTCTATTTCAGATCTCCACACTATTATTCTTATCAGTTGATCATCATCAGTTCCCAGACCCTAAGGAGAGCATATTATCAATTATAATCAGTTCTCAGATCCTGAGGAGTGAGGAGAGCATATTATTATCAGTTCCTAGGTCCTGAGGAGAGCATATTATTATCAATTCCCAGACCCTGAGGAGTGAGGTGAGTATATTATTATCAGTTCCTAGGTCCTGAGGAGAGCATATTATTATCAATTCCCAGACCCTGAGGAGTGAGGTGAGTATATTATTATCAATTTTTGCTAATTGTTGTTGTTTTCCCCTCAAAAACCATGCCAGGCTTTGCCTGGAAAGCTGGAAACAACAATAAACCCATGAATACAAATTCAATCGATTACCACTAAATAATAAAATAATAATAATCTAACAGGTGCATTCTACAGTAACGATCAATCAGACATTGTTTAATTTACCTTCATCGACTTGTAAAGCTCCTCTGCAAAATATGTTGGTGTATTTTTTATCCTTTTAACTGAAAAAAATTAGAGTTTCATTACGATAATGAGACTTGAAGTATGTAGTATGTAGTATGTAGTACGTAGTATGTAGTATGTAGTATGTAGTATGTAGTATGTAGTATGTAGTATGTAGTATGTAGTATGTAGTATGTAGTATGTAGTATGTAGTATGTAGTATGTAGTATGTAGTATGTAGTATGTAGTATGTAGTATGTAGTATGTAGTATGTAGTATGTAGTATGTAGTATGTAGTATGTAGTATGTAGTATGTAGTATGTAGTATGTAGTATGTAGTATGTAGTATGTAGTATGTAGTATGTAGTATGTAGTATGTAGTATGTAGTATGTAGTATGTAGTATGTAGTATGTAGTATGTAGTATGTAGTATGTAGTATGTAGTATGTAGTATGTGGTATGTGGTATGTGGTATGTGGTATGTGGTATGTGGTATGTAGTATGTAGTATGTAGTATGTAGTATGTAGTATGTAGTATGTAGTATGTAGTATGTAGTATGTAGTATGTAGTATGTAGTATGTAGTATGTAGTATGTAGTATGTAGTATGTAGTATGTAGTATGTAGTATGTAGTATGTAGTATGTAGTATGTAGTATGTAGTATGTAGTATGTAGTATGTAGTATGTAGTATGTAGTATGTAGTATGTAGTATGTAGTATGTAGTATGTAGTATGTAGTATGTAGTATGTAGTATGTAGTATGTAGTATGTAGTATGTAGTATGTAGTATGTAGTATGTAGTATGTAGTATGTAGTATGTAGTATGTAGTATGTAGTATGTAGTATGTAATAATACTTACTGATAGAAAGGAATCCTAATTCCAGTTCTCCCGACATTTCTGATCTGATAGATTTCTCGATATCTTCCCCTGCTACCTGGTGGAGTATAAGTTAGGTATAACATGTACTGTACTGTACTGTACTGTACTGTACTGTACTGTACTGTACTGTACTGTACTGTACTGTACTGTACTGTACTGTACTGTACTGTACTGTACTGTACTGTACTGTACTGTACTGTACTGTACTGTACTGTACTGTACTGTACTGTACTGTACTGTAGTGCATTAAATGTAGTGAGAGCTACTTGTTTGAACCGAGGTTTAATAAATCATCAATCTTTGCACTACAGTCACCCTCGATATGTCGTTATGAGGGAGGAAATGAGGGAGGAAAACAACTCGTCCATCAACAGGACCCCGCAAAACGTGCCTTAACATTCTCCACCAACTACGGTCAACGGTCCAGCATTGCAGCGTTTATACAAGTTTTTGTTGGAGATGATTTCATTGAAGTTTGAATGTATTACATGTCATGAGTCGAATTTGTACGTGTTTGAGACATGAGTATACCTTATCAGACGTTATTTGACCGGGGATTGCGTGAACGGACATAATTACGAACATTAAAATAAACGGACATTAAATTGAACGCTAGGGCCTCTAGCGTCCAAATAATGTCCGTTCAAATTAAGTCTGATAGGGTATTCAATATGTTAACTATAATAATATTTACAATTTGTCTAAATTTTAGGAGCTGATACAATAATTATATTTATAATGTTTGGAAATTTTTAGCAAATTTTCCAACTTCTTTCAGTTAAACTTTGAAAGGTTCCAGCAATCTGCAATAAGTTTGAATTGCAATAGCGTTAGAGAGTAGTAATACCAACATCAGCAAGTTAGTCTGCTGATTGGTATGTAGTCAACTAATTAGTATGTAGTCAGCTAAGTAGTATTTAGTGAGCTAATTAGTATGTAGTCAGCTAATTAGTAAGTTAGTCTGCTGATTGGTATGTAGTCAACTAATTAGTATGTAGTCAGCTAATTAGTAAGTTAGTCAACTAATTATTATTTAGTCAGCTTATTAGTATTTAGTGAGCTAATTAGTATGTAGTCAGCTAATTAGTATGTAGTCAGCTAATAAGTAAGTAGTCAGCTAATTAGTAAGTTAGTCAGCTGATTGGTATGTAGTCAACTAATTAGTATGAAGTCAGCTTATTAGTATTCAGTCAGCTAATTATTATGTAGTCAGCTAATTAATATGAAGTCAGCTCTTTAGTATGTAGTCAGCTAATTAGTAAGAAGTCAGCTAATTAGTATGTAGTTAGCTTATTCCTACCCCGGCCCTCTCTGAGGTTTTTGGCTCGATTGTGACGTTTTTTCGCCATTCCAAAAGTTTCTGCATATCACTTGTCAATTCACGCCTGTATTTCTAGACATTGGGGAAAAGAAAATTTCAGATCAGAAAGATTGATCAGTACTTTCTTCTACAACCTTTGCCTCCTAAAGTTAGTAATTACCTAAGAGCAACGAGTTGAATCTTAGTACGTACACGGATCAGAAATTGTAACATTTCTTATCTTATACTTATCTTACTTATCAAGTAATATAAGAGATAATCAACTATATATCTTAGAAGGCGTTGTATAAAAAGTTGCCGCCATGAAATAAGGTCGGCGTAGAACGGTGCGAGAAACATTTTCTTGAGAACAATTTCAAAATCGAATTTTAAACAATAGTTTCGACGTGTAGTAATTAGACCAAGCACGATTAGTTTTCCCTACCACCATAACCATTAGTGTTGTGAAAAAATTAAAGTAACTCACCATCTTGTACTCAGCGAACACCATCTTGAGATGACGATAACTTCTAGCGCACAGAATACTGTTGAACCTGCGAAGTGCGAGGTTAGGCTTTATCAAACCAAGGTACAAGCTAATATAATAAGATAATACTATAATAGCATCTTTAATTTTAATTTCCATTTAAATAAATATTAAAAGATGTAAGGTCGATTTTCATCCTATCACCTATGTAGGATAATGAAAGCAAGACTGTAAGTATAGTACTAGTAGTATAAGTATAAGGAAGTGTTCTCAATCTTTATAGCTTTATCAAACAGCAGCTATCATTGACATTATATTAGCGCACTCCGTCTGCAGGGTTTGGCAATATTCGCTTCAGTTTTGTAGCTGATAAACTTACCTATCTTCGTAGCGACGGGTCAATAGCTTATTTCGAAATACTCCAACAGGAAATGTGGGGCTACAAAAAGTAAACTTGTATGGAAATGTGGGGCTACGAAAAGTAAACTTGTATGGAAACGTGGGGCTACAAAAAGTCTATAGTAAGCTTTATGAAAATGTGGGGCTACAAAAAGTAAACTTGTATGAAAATGTGGGGCTACAAAAAGTAGTCTGTATATATAATCTGATGGTAATAGTAATACGTACTTCTTATACTTTATTTAACGTTGTTACTTCAATGTTTATCTTAACCAAAATGTATCTACAAGAATGCCTCCATAATTCTTTGTTGGTACTAATATTTCATGAAGCTATCGGTTTATTGACAGGGAATGTTTTAATGTTTTGTTAACTTACTTGGACTCATCCGTTCCAAATCTGTTAATTCCCGCGTTGAAAAGTTCCTGGTAAGAATTATATCATTGTTAGAATGGGTAGAATTACACCGGACTAGTTATTTGATGGATTTTATTTCTGGTGAACTGAGTTAAATATGTTTTACTAAAAAAGCTTTATTCGAGAAAATTTAAAAAAATCAGTTATGTTGTAATTTCTCTTTATTACTGTAGAAAGTATGGATTTTGTTTGACAATGACGACAACGTTCTAAATATTTAGATTCCCTAAACGATAGTTTTTACCGCATCGAAAAATATCAATCACAACCAAAGTTATGAATAGTTGTAGAGCGAGCGTTAATTAAAATTTGAGCTATTCATGACTGATGACATATTATTGAGTTATTGGCAACGCGCGTTGCAGGTTACTAATATCTTAATATGTGCCTACTCGCGCACGTGCAATCTCTTTCTAGGTTGCTAAGCAACGATGTAGTCAAACAATGATGAAATTACGCCATTATTCTGTCGCCAATTTTTCCTCACTTCCGTCTCCGACGTTAATTATAAAAAAATCTAAAGACTAAATCTAAATTCTGTGTCAGTGTTGCACGTGCACGTGCAAAGATTTGCGTATAACGTATAACGTATAACGTATAACGTATAACGTATAACGTATAACGTATAACGTATAACGTATAACGTATAACGTATAACGTATAACGTATAACGTATAACGTATAACGTATAACGTATAACGTATAACGTATAACGTATAACGTATAACGTATAACGTATAACGTATAACGTATAACGTATAACGTATAACGTATAACGTATAACGTATAACGTATAACGTATAACGTATAACGTATAACGTATAACGTATAACGTATAACGTATAACGTATAACGTATAACGTATAACGTATAACGTATAACGTATAACGTATAACGTATAACGTATAACGTATAACGTACTAGAAACCCGCTAGTCGAAAGCTTTGTTCGAGGAAATTTTAAAAATCAGTTATGTTTTAATTTCTCTTCATCATATAGCTCTGTTATACTTATACTGTAGACATAATGGAATTTATCTAACAATGGCGACAGCGTTGTTAGTATTCGGATTCCCAAAACGATACTTTTTACCGCATCAAAAAATACCAGTCACAACCAAAGTTATGAATATAAGTCATAGCGTGAGCGTAAATGTGAGCTAGTTTTGAAATTATGACGTAGCATACAGCATAACAACGCGCGTAGTTAAGATGTTATTGCTCGCGCACGTGCATTTTAACGTTGCTACGCAACAGCGCAGTAAACCTTTGCTAAAATAACGACATTATTCTAACGGTTATTTTACCTCACTTCCGACGTTAATTATAAAAAATCTAAAGCCTAAATCAAAATTCTAAGAATGCTATAGCCTATTCCTATCCTTTTTCTACAACCCTGCTAAAAATGGCGAGGTTTCAACTCCATTTGCGAGCTGGGTTTGGCATCACCAGAGGGTCATTTTGAGGTCGATTTTCGGTGTTTTTTCTTCTATGTCCCCGTTGCCGGGGAAATTTCGTCAAGTTTAAAATATAATATAGATAACGTATAACGTATAACGTATAACGTATAACGTATAACGTATAACGTATAACGTATAACGTATAACGTATAACGTATAACGTATAACGTATAACGTATAACGTATAACGTATAACGTATAACGTATAACGTATAACGTATAACGTATAACGTATAACGTATAACGTATAACGTATAACGTATAACGTATAACGTATAACGTATAACGTATAACGTATAACGTATAACGTATAACGTATAACGTATAACGTATAACGTATAACGTATAACGTATAACGTATAACGTATAACGTATAACGTATAACGTATAACGTATAACGTATAACGTATAACGTATAACGTATAACGTATAACGTATAACGTATAACGTATAACGTATAACGTATAACGTATAACGTATAACGTATAACGTATAACGTATAACGTATAACGTATAACGTATAACGTATAACGTATAACGTATAACGTATAACGTATAACGTATAACGTATAACGTATAACGTATAACGTATAACGTATAACGTATAACGTATAACGTATAACGTATAACGTATAACGTACTAGAAACCCGCTAGTCGAAAGCTTTGTTCGAGGAAATTTTAAAAATCAGTTATGTTTTAATTTCTCTTCATCATATAGCTCTGTTATACTAGGCGGTGCATGATAAAAATAAACTTGCTCGGATTTTCAAAATTTTTGTACCATCGTTTTCTAGAGACTGTGAGAATTTTCACAGTAGCAAATTTATCATACCTTTTTGGAATGATCAGTGAGTTTCGCCTAGGTGCCATATTTGATGGTGCGCGGCTTTTGGAGCAAAATTAGGTTTAAAAGTCGCGTAATTTGACGAAATTCGTTGATTTTTGTCGTATTATTCTGTCATATCTTCGGTTCCTGAACATAAATCATGCTGAAAATTTGTCAGGACCTTTTAATCATACTTAACTACCGAACCTAATTTAGTTTGGAGAGATTGGCCTTGATTAAGAGGTCTAAAAATGACAAAATAGGTATAAATTCGTTGATAACTCAAATTCTGAGCATCGAAATTGCTCAAACTAAATTAGGTTCAGTAAAACATAAGTGTTTACGTAAGCTGACCAAATTTCAACAAAATTGTTATATGGGAAGTATAATAACTTTTCGATTGTTTCCAAAATAATGTGCTGGCCGAAATAAGAGCAAAAAAACCATTCAATGGTCAGCGCGCGCGTCTTATTGTCGATGGCGCACTGCCTAGTTATACTGTAGACATAATGGAATTTATCTAACAATGGCGACAGCGTTGTTAGTATTCGGATTCCCAAAACGATACTTTTTACCGCATCAAAAAATACCAGTCACAACCAAAGTTATGAATATAAGTCATAGCGTGAGCGTAAATGTGAGCTAGTTTTGAAATTATGACGTAGCATACAGCATAACAACGCGCGTAGTTAAGATGTTATTGCTCGCGCACGTGCATTTTAACGTTGCTACGCAACAGCGCAGTAAACCTTTGCTAAAATAACGACATTATTCTAACGGTTATTTTACCTCACTTCCGACGTTAATTATAAAAAATCTAAAGCCTAAATCAAAATTCTAAGAATGCTATAGCCTATTCCTATCCTTTTTCTACAACCCTGCTAAAAATGGCGAGGTTTCAACTCCATTTGCGAGCTGGGTTTGGCATCACCAGAGGGTCATTTTGAGGTCGATTTTCGGTGTTTTTTCTTCTATGTCCCCGTTGCCGGGGAAATTTCGTCAAGTTTAAAATATAATATAGATAACGTATAACGTATAACGTATAACGTATAACGTATAACGTATAACGTATAACGTATAACGTATAACGTATAACGTATAACGTATAACGTATAACGTATAACGTATAACGTATAACGTATAACGTATAACGTATAACGTATAACGTATAACGTATAACGTATAACGTATAACGTATAACGTATAACGTATAACGTATAACGTATAACGTATAACGTATAACGTATAACGTATAACGTATAACGTATAACGTATAACGTATAACGTATAACGTATAACGTATAACGTATAACGTATAACGTATAACGTATAACGTATAACGTATAACGTATAACGTATAACGTATAACGTATAACGTATAACGTATAACGTATAACGTATAACGTATAACGTATAACGTATAACGTATAACGTATAACGTATAACGTATAACGTATAACGTATAACGTATAACGTATAACGTATAACGTATAACGTATAACGTATAACGTATAACGTATAACGTATAACGTATAACGTATAACGTATAACGTATAACGTATAACGTATAACGTATAACGTATAACGTATAACGTATAACGTATAACGTATAACGTATAACGTATAACGTATAACGTATAACGTATAACGTATAACGTATAACGTATAACGTATAACGTATAACGTATAACGTATAACGTATAACGTATAACGTATAACGTATAACGTATAACGTATAACGTATAACGTATAACGTATAACGTATAACGTATAACGTATAACGTATAACGTATAACGTATAACGTATAACGTATAACGTATAACGTATAACGTATAACGTATAACGTATAACGTATAACGTATAACGTATAACGTATAACGTATAACGTATAACGTATAACGTATAACGTATAACGTATAACGTATAACGTATAACGTATAACGTATAACGTATAACGTATAACGTATAACGTATAACGTATAACGTATAACGTATAACGTATAACGTATAACGTATAACGTATAACGTATAACGTATAACGTATAACGTATAACGTATAACGTATAACGTATAACGTATAACGTATAACGTATAACGTATAACGTATAACGTATAACGTATAACGTATAACGTATAACGTATAACGTATAACGTATAACGTATAACGTATAACGTATAACGTATAACGTATAACGTATAACGTATAACGTATAACGTATAACGTATAACGTATAACGTATAACGTATAACGTATAACGTATAACGTATAACGTATAACGTATAACGTATAACGTATAACGTATAACGTATAACGTATAACGTATAACGTATAACGTATAACGTATAACGTATAACGTATAACGTATAACGTATAACGTATAACGTATAACGTATAACGTATAACGTATAACGTATAACGTATAACGTATAACGTATAACGTATAACGTATAACGTATAACGTATAACGTATAACGTATAACGTATAACGTATAACGTATAACGTATAACGTATAACGTATAACGTATAACGTATAACGTATAACGTATAACGTATAACGTATAACGTATAACGTATAATGTATTACCAAGGCATCTTCCTTTGCCACCTCCTTGTCCACCACATCGTTCTCGTCCCTGTTTCCCTGTAGCAGACTCAGAGCCAGTCTCTTGAAGTCGCCACTCGTCTCGCTCACTATCTCCCGCTCCAACTCTGCTTCAAACACTGAAATTAGAAAGTTATCACCCGAATAGTATTATAGTAGTGTAGCAGTATAGTATCGTAGTATGTAATAGTAGTATAGTAGTGTAGTAATATAGTAGGTAATAGTAGTATAGACTATAGTAGTATAGTATGTAATAGTAGTATAGTATGTGATAGTAGTATAGTAGTGTAGTAGTATAGTAGTGTAGTAGTATAGTAGTATAGTAGTATAGTAGTATAGTATGTAATAGTAGCATAGCAGTGTAGTAGTATAGTATGTAATAGTAGTGTAGTAGTGTAGTATGTAATATTAGTATCTATACTAATAATCCCAATAAATCTGTGGGTGTGTGACGTGTGTGTGTCTGTAATGTACGAATGGTTAAATCAAGAAAACGGTATAAGAGATATGGGACTGGTTTTTTCGGTATAGTGCCGACAAAACTCTGACGAAGGCTAGGTTGTTTATGATAGCTGCAGTACTCAGTACTGTGTAGTGAAGTAGTTGTGTGTGTGGATACTTAGTACTTACTTATACTCCAGAAACTGCATGATGAACGGTAAAGTTGTAGTTATGTTACTACTGGTGAAGTTGTGCAGATAAGAAGCTCGTTTGTTTGGTAAATTGTTTAAAAGGTTAATTTATATGTGGAGAGCTGTCTGAACTTTAACAACTTTTGGTGACATGCCAAGCAACTCGAGTTAAGGTTAGATAAGGAAAACGAATTAATTCAACTTATAGTTGATCATGCTAAAATTCATGCACAATTGCGCTGCCAACTAGTTTTTTTAAATGTTGAGCTTATTTGTTGTACTATAGTTAGGGAACTACATACTACTAACTACTATGCTAATATAATGGCGATCTTCATGCAGTGATAATATAGTGAAAAGTTAATTGTGAAATGTTAAATCCGGGAAAACACTCAGTACCTGGTATGTTTACTATGTCTCGCGCAAGATCCTTGGAAAACACCAAAATACGTTAGATAAACTGATAAAGCACACAATTGAATTATATACACTAATCTTACTGCGTATAATGCGATTACATTATTAATTATTTACAGATCAGAAATGCAAATAGCAGAAAATAGCGAAAAGCTGCAGCAGGGGAGAATTACAACAAATTAGTATTACAAAAGTAGTTCTACCGGGAAGTTGGTCTACCGGGAAGTTGGTGTTCATATGGTACTGTGCAGGGACGTTGCATAGACGTTGCATAGACTGACCGTGCAGGGAGTGTGCATAGAGTGTTCATTGTGCAGGGACGTTGCATAGACGTTGCATAGACGGTTCTTTTGTTGTTGCATGGACGTTGCATAGACGTTGCATAGACTGTCCGGAGCTAAACGACCAAGTTGCCGTTCTGGGAAGTTGGTCGTTTAGCTCCGGACAGTCTATAATTACATTATTAATTATTTACAGATCAGAAATGCAAATAGCAGAAAATAGCGAAAAGCTGCAGCAGGGGAGAATTACAACAAATTAGTATTACAAAAGTAGTTCTACCGGGAAGTTGGTCTACCGGGAAGTTGGTGTTCATATGGTACTGTGCAGGGACGTTGCATAGACGTTGCATAGACTGACCGTGCAGGGAGTGTGCATAGAGTGTTCATTGTGCAGGGACGTTGCATAGACGTTGCATAGACGGTTCTTTTGTTGTTGCATGGACGTTGCATAGACGTTGCATAGACTGTCCGGAGCTAAACGACCAAGTTGCCGTTCTACCCGTGTGAGTAGTTACTTCTGGGCTACATAATACAAAAATGGACCTACTTGATTTATAAATGTGCTTCACTTCAGCAATACCCCTATTATCCAACCCCACCAGGATCTCGACTAGTGCTCGTTCGTCCGTACCACTTCCCTGCGGTAATATAATACGTATAATATACGTGCTCAGCTAATATTACTGCAGTATTACGTACTCAGCTTATACTACTGCAGTATTACGTGCTCAGCTAATACTACTGCAGTAATACGTGTTTTACCTATATTCTTAGCTAACCTTCATTGCACGTTTAAGTTCTTTGGCCAGGTATTGAGGAATTGAGAAAAGTAAGCACTTGCAAAGTCGGAGAAAGTTGGCGCTTAACTCCGACTTAAACTCCATTAGAAGATCTTTGCCGTACATCGTCTGAAAGGAAATTAGAAGTTTTATCTGAATAATTCAAGAATTTTTATTCTAACTGATTTCAATGTTTTAGAAAAAAGTCCCCTGTTGACGAAGAGAAGCTTATAATATAATATATATTTATGAAGGAGTAAGTTTTATAATATATAACATATTTGATACCTTAAACACGAGAGCAATTTGTAGTCTCTGTTCGCGGCTCCTGTTTCCCAGGATGTTTATTATTTTAGTCTCGTTAGTTCCCAGACCCTTCATAGCGTTCCTCAGTTCCTGACAGTCCTTGTCAGCACTAAAGTCTGTTGCTGGGGTGATTGTTCCGGGCATAGTGGTCCCCTGGGTCTTACTACCTATATTGGTGGTGGCATGATTATACGAATACAGTTGTTGTACTCTACAATACACTGATAAACACAGCAGTCTACTATAATCACTAGGGCGGTTCAAACCCACTCTATAATATTCACACATCATACAGCAGTATTGCTTTACTCAGACGATACATAATGAAAATCGGGAAAATAAGGTTGTCCCGCTTGCACTACGGCAGAGGACAATACGGCAGAGGACACTACGGCGGAGGACACTACGGCAGAGGAAACTATGGCGGAGGACAATACGGCGGAGGACAATACGGCAGAGGACAATATGGCAGAGGACAATACGGCGGAGGACACTACGGCAGAGGACACTACGGCAGAGGACAATACGGCGGAGGACACTACGGCAGAGGACACTACGGCGGAGGACAATACGGCGGAGGACAATACGGCGGAGGACAATACGGCAGAGGACACTACGGCGGAGGACAATACGGCGGAGGACAATACGGCAGAGGACAATACGGCAGAGGACAATACGGCGGAGGACAATACGGCAGAGGACAATACGGCATTGGGCAGTATGACGGAGAACACTACAGTATGGTGGCACTTTCTCAAAAGGGGTAACACTTGACAGTGGAACACAAAGCTTTAGTGGGAAGCCGTAACCACGCAAAATGTTTGGTAAACCCCGCCTCAATTTCATGTAGATACTTTCATGTAGACAGTATCATCAGCAGTAGGTGTACTGTACCATTACAGAGGCACCCAATATTTAACGGTCCGTAGACTTGGAATGCAGCCAATATTTAGCAGCCTCTAGAGATGGAATGCAGCCAATATTTAGCAGTCTGAAGAGATGGAATGCTGCTAATATTTAGCAGTCTGAAGAAATAGAATCCAGCCAATATTTAGCAGTCTGAAGAGATGGAATGCTGCCAATATTTAGCAGTCTGAAGAAATGGAATGCAGCCAATATTTAGCAGTCTGAAGAAATGGAATGCAGCCAATATTTAGCAGTCTGAGAGATGGAATGCTGCCAATATTTAGCAGTCAGAAGAAATGGAATGCAGCCAATATTTAGCAGTCTGAAGAGATGGAATGCAGCCAATATTTAACAGTCTGAAAGATGGAATGCAGCCAATATTTAGCAGTCTGAAGAGATGGAATACAGCCAATATTTACGAAAATAATGAAAAACCACCGAATTTCGTAATTCGTACCGAATAAGGTGTTTGAGTGAAAATAGTCGGGAAGGGGCCAGGGGCACTCAGTGCTGTCAATCAAATAGATTCTGCTTACGCGGATCTATCTGAATTTCTGAATGGAGGCTTTTGCGTGCCGTGTCTATATTAAACTAGGTATACATATACATATCACCGGAGACTCGCGGGCGGAACAAAATATTGCACGCGCACGCGCGTGCAATATTTCATATGTCCCCGAGGGCGCTAGCCCGAGGAGGACATATTTTCGTATAGCACGGAGGGCCCATCGGGCCCGAGTGCTATACGATTTTTCCGCCCGCGGGTCGAGGTGATGTGGATTATATCCACCAGCGTGAGCTTTTTCTTACAGATATTAGTTTTTTAGTTTTTACTTTAGTTTCTTCAAGAGATCCGTTTTTAATTTAGTTTCACTTTTACTTTCAGTTTCAACATGTTTCTAATACGATAGTTCCGCCCTCGAGGCGAGGAATGATATCGTGTATATCCATCAGCGGGCGTTTATCACGAAGCTTCAGTTTGCAACAATCACAGCAAATTAATGTACAAGATTTCAGAAAAGTTACGAAAAAATCATGTTGCTTTAGGTTTAAGATGTAAAACAGGCCAAAATGACTGACTATAGAACGAAAAACCGGCTGCTATCAAACAATGTTTCAGCTCATTGTTTCAGGTACATATTTTAATGTAAACGATCAAAATATAGGCCTCTCTCCCTCTCTCCGTCTCTCCCTCTCTCCCTCTATCCCTCTATCCCTCTCTCCCTATCTTCCTCTCTCCTTCTCCCACTCTCCTTACGTCCCTCTATCCCTCTATCCCTCTCTCTTTATCTCCCTCTCTCCTCCTCTCCCCATCTTTCTCTCCTACTCTTCCTCTATACTTTTCTACCTCTCTCCCCTCTCCCTCCCTGGAACCAGAACAAGCACCACCAGTAGCCACAGAGCCCTCTACTACCAAGTTAGTTGTCATTATCATGTCAGTTACCTGGGTAACCAGGGTTACCCGGGTAACCAGTTACTACAGTTTCTGTAGCAGCTACTGAGTGGCTGGACACTTCAAAGTAGTAACCCAGAGAGCTCGAGATCACAGTCTGATCATGGACATTTAATATGAAAGTTAAAGATCAAATTCATAACATCAATTTAAATGGCAGTTTCAAAACAAAAACAGGGCAGAATATCTTTCGGGAACACAATAGAATAACACGTAAAATTTCGGCCTACATTTCAAGATTTATCGACTGAACTAGTGAAATGAAAATGGTAAACACAACTGAAATGGTAAACACAAAACAATTATCGATACTATAATAGAGATCACCGGCTTAGAATTTAGTCTGGACGTCTCCACGAATTTGGTAACCATAGTAACAGTGTGTCAGTGTCACGTGTTCATTATGAGCCAATCATGGCAAACTGCGTGACAACTAATATAGCGTCCGATAAAGGGTGCGCTCAGAGTTTACAGTTGATACATTCTTTACATCCACTGCATATTGCCGTGGGAATTTAGAAACAGAAACTACACTAATTAGCTCACTGTACGATTATTGCAATTGAATTCATCATTAATGAATTAAACCGGTTTTAACTATAGTTCTAAGTAACTTGTAAGTTGCTGTCTTATGGAATTTCACATGGAGACGATACAGAAACTGAAAATATTTTAGAGAACTCCGGGCTATATTGCTACTGGTCAAATTAAATGTCACTTGTTAGCGGGCTATATCATGAGCGGGCTGTAGAGATATCGGGCCCTTTGACAGCGGGCTGGTGAGAGCCCGCTATGCGAAAAAGCGCACGCTGGTGGATATAAATTGAAACGACCGGTTGAGTCAGACAAATGTTTTAATCATGATACAAAACCATGATATCATCAGCGACAACTAAAAATTAAAATTACAAAACTAAAAGTTTACATAAATATTCACTCGTGAAACAATATATAAGACGACGCCACCCAAAATTAAACTATAGGTATATATACTGAACAGAAACGTGGACGATGGAAAGCTTTACGCTCTAGCTGTGCAAACGATCCAAATAAAATTTGAACATTATTGTGTGAAAGATAGAAGTATCAGAATTAAACGGTCCAGTTTCTGTTTTCAAATGTCATTTGTAAGTTTATAAACGGAATGTTCGCGGAATGTACACGGAATGTACACGGAACACTGTAAGTGTACACTTGTAACACAGCTATAATATAGTTATCTTACAACGCTCTGTGTGGTGACTTAACTGAATTTAAAACCCAAAGCAAGTGGAATTTACCGTCTATGATGTACATTTTTATAACGATTAATAAGTCAAATTAGCGATATACACTGCAGCGATATAGTAGAGTAGTACTAGTAGGTATAGATCAAAGGTTAAGGTTCTTCATTTCTTATAGAGTTATAGTCCGGGTGTTTAACTTTAAGTGAGAATGCCCGGGAAAAGCCGTTTTACTTATAAACTTATAAACCCGCTGCAGGGATCGACCGGGGACGAAATTTTGCCGGGGCCGGGGCCGGGACCAAGTTGAATCAGCCGGGGCCGGGATTAACCAGGATTTTGGAATGTTGCCAAGGCCGGGGCCGGGGCCGGGATTGGCTAAAATATGCCGGGGCCGGGATTTTTAAATCTAATTTTGAAAATTTTTGAAAGTTTCCGGAAACTCGTATCAAACTCATATAAACTCCTTAAATGGGGAAAAAGAACACCTGTGGAGGACTTTGTGGCTCCAAATAGCCGTATTCTACCAACCCCTGTTATAAATCAAGAGGCTTGCATATAATGAACATGTTACATATTGACACGGGTGCAGAGTTGAGTCTGTACGGAACCTAGTAGTTTCAGATCCTTGTTTAACTTGCCGTACAGCAAGGTCATCCGCTACTTTAGCCCGGCGAGGCACATAACTCCCTCCACAACTCCATGACAAATGTTTCATATATACTAGCCGAGTTCACAAGTTATATCCTTGTGTTTGAGAAGAGCTCGTTAGAACTGCTTCCTTTCCCTTCAGTATCCCACAGTCTCTCGAGTTTCGTAACTGCCAGAGAACTCTCTTAAACAATTACTAGACTCGGTGATTATAAATCAAGAGGCTTGCATATAATGAACATATTGACAGAATCGAGACAGAGCGAAGACGAAACATCGGACATAGATATTTCGGACACTGAAGCTGACACCGGAAACGAGTAGTCATCTGTGATCTGACAGACTATCATCATCATCTGCATTGAGTCGGCCTCACTCTCTACTATTTTTTGCTCCTGAACTGAATTGTTTGACGTTTGTACTAGTTATATGAAAGAAAACGGTACACGAACACATGACTTTACTCGAACTTTTTAATCAACCTCGAACTTTTTTAATCAACATTAATATTTTACATTCTTTGAAAATTCAAAGTTGAAATTTTCTGAATATCAAACTGGAATGATGTCAAGTCCTCGTATTTATATTTTTCACTCGATGTCATGTTACCGAAAATTTTGTGTTTAATTTAAGTCTAAAAATCAAGATAAATTCTGATAATCTATCGGTTTAAATTGAGGCAGAAAATACGAGAAATCCCGACAAAAATTGACAAAAACAGCCGGGGCCGGGATTGGGGGCCTCTGGCCGGGGCCGGGATTTTGAAAATTATTTTGCCGGGGCCGGGGCCGGGGAAAACACAAATCCCGGCCGTATCCGGGGCAGGGGCCGGGATCCCGGTCGATCACTGACCCGCTGTCAATTTGACCGAAGTTAATAGATACTACCGCGTCTGACATCCCGCTATTACGCACGTGTTTGTGCGTGTGACGTCACTTTATAACGCACGTGTTTGTGCGTGCGACGTCACTTTATTACGCAAGTGTCTGTTCGTGTGTCACGTGACTGACAAACACCCCGGGGTCGGAGTTCATCAGCTCAATTTCATAAAGCAAAGGTTCAATTTTCAATATCTAATACACATAAACTGGTGAATATAAATGGCAAAAACTCAAAAAGATAGAAATGCAAACTTTCTTTTCATAAAGAGCAGAGGAAGGTAGTGGTACCGTAAGTTTGTTGCAAAGTACTTATAACATACATTTGTAAAACGAGAGCTGCAATATCATGTGTTTCATAAAGCAAAAGGCGAAAGACAATACCACCCCCAGTATAAAGACAATACTGAGCTACTTAATAAACATATGAACTCTAGAATAATGAGAGGGAATAGAGATCATGCAAATGGTCAAACTTGTCTAAATGTTACAACAAAGTGGCGGTTATTACATTTTGTCTCCAAATCTCTAAACGTTACAACAAAGTGGCGGTTATTACATTTTGTCTCCAAATCTCTAAACGTTACAACAAAGTGGCGGCTATTACATTTTGTCTCCAAATCTCTAAACGTTACAACAAAGTGACGGCTATTACA